GTGGTGCGATCTTGGCTCACTGCAACCTCTGCCTCCCAGGTTCAAGCAATTTATTGCCTCGGCTTCCTGAATAGGTGGGATTACAGGTGACTGCCACCACACCTGGCTAATTTTTTTTTTTTTTTTTTTTTTTTTTTTTTTTTAAGTAGAGATGGGGTTTCACCATGTTGGCCAGGCTGGTCTTGAACTCCTGACCTCAAATGATCCACCCACCTTGGCCTCCCAGAGTGCTGGAATTACAGGTGAGAGCCACTGTGCCCAGCCCCCCTTTACTTTTTATAAGTATTAACAGCTCCCTTTTCATGCCTGATGTAGTAATTTGAGTCTTCTCTCTTTTTTTCTTGGTCAGTCTAGCTAAACAGTTGTCGATTTGTTGATCTTTTCCAAGAAAAAAATTTGGTTTTACTGATTTTCTCTATTTTTTTCTATTTTCTATTTCATTTATTTTGTTCTTACCTTTATTATTTCCTTCCTTTGGCTTGCTTTTGGTTTAGTTTGCTCTTCTGTTTCTAGTTTCTTAAGGTGGAAGTTTAGGCTTTTAGAAATCTTTCCTCTTTTCTAATATTGACATGAATAGTTATAAATTTCTCTCTACGCACTGCTTTCGCTGCATCCTGTAAGTTATGTTGTGTTTTAGCTTCCACACACCTCAAGATATTTTATAATTTTGTCTGTAATTTCATCTTTGACTCACTGATTATTTAGGAGCATGTTTTTAAATTTCCACATATTTCTAGCTAGGGGTAGTGGCTCACACCTGTAATCCCAGCAATTTGGGAGGCGGAAGCAGGCAGATCACTGGAGGTCAGTAGTCCAAGACCAGCCTGGACAACATGGTGAAACGCCATCTCTGTAAAAAATACAAAAATTAGCCAGGCATGGTGATATACTCCTGTAGTCCCAGCTACTTGAGAGGCTGAGGCATGAGAATCACTTGAACCTGGGAGGTGGAGGCTGCAGTGAGCCAAGATCGTACCACTGCACTTTAGCCTGGGGGACAGAGCAAGACTTGTCTCAGGAAAAAAAAAAAAATTCTACATATTTGTTAATTTCCTTGGTTGTCATTTTCTAATTTAATTCCAATGCAGTTGGAAAAACAGGCTTTATATAATTTCAATCCTTTTCCATTGATTGAGGCTTGTTTGAAGGCCTAGTATATAGTCTGTCCTGATGACTGCATGATGTGTACTTGAGAAGAGCATGTATTCTGCTGCTGTTGCGTGGAGTGTTTTGATGTCTGTCAGGTCTTGGTTTACAGCGTTGTTCAAGGTGTCTACTTCCTTGTTGATCTTCTGCCTCATTGTTTCATCCATTATTGAAAGTGGGGTATTGGCCAGGCGCAGTGGCTCACGCCTGTAAAGCCAACACTTTGGGAGGCCAAGGTGGGTGGATCACCTGAGGTCAGGAGTTCGAGACCAGCCTGGCCAACATGATGACACCCTGCCTCTACTAAAAACACAAAAATTAGCTAGGTGTGGTGGTGGGCACCTGAAATCCCAGCTACTTGGGAGGTTGAGGCAGGAGAATCCCTTGAACCCAGGAGAAGGAGGCTGCGGTGAGTTGAGATTGTGCCATTGCACTCCAGCCTGGATAACAGAGCAAAACTCCACCTCAAAAAAAAAAAAGTGGGGTATTGACATCTCCAGCTATTACATTGAATGGTCTAGTTCAGTTCCCTTCAGTTTCATTAGTTTTTGCTTCATGTATTTTGGGCTCTGTTGTTAGTGTGTGTGTGTGTGTGTGTGTGTGTGTGTGTGTGTGTGTGTATATATATATATATATATATATTTTTTTTTTTTACTAGGCAAAGAACTTTATTAACCTTGGTTTCAAACTTGGTTCCCAGCCGGGCGCGGTGGCTCACGCCTGTAATCCCAGCACTTTGGGAGGCCGAGGCGGGTGGATCACGAAGTCAAGAGATCGAGACCATCCTGGTCAACATGGTGAAACCCCGTCTCTACTAAAAATACAAAAAATCACCTGGGTATGGTGGCGCATGCCTGTAATCCCAGCTACTCAGGAGCCTGAGGCAGGAGAATTGCCTGAACCCAGGAGGCGGAGGTTGCGGTGAGCCGAGATCGCGCCATTGCACTCCAGCCTGGGTAACAAGAGTGAAACTCCGTCTCAAAAACAAACAAACAAACAAACAAAAAAACTTGGTTCCCAGGCTTTTTCGGCTTAATCAGCTGCAAAGAATGAATTGTGAATAAGCAAAAAACTGAAAAGAGCTGCAGTGTCCAAGGGGCTTGGGCTTAAAAATATTAGAGATCTAGATTTTATAAGATCCATACACAAAAGTTTCTGAAAAAGCAGTCATAATATAAAATAGCAGCTCCCAGTAACAACTTCAAGTTTTATCTTCAGAAGTTGACTCAATTCAGTCTGCCTCATTCTTGGAAGCCTCATCAAAATTCTTCACAAGATCTGGAACTTCATCAGCATCATCCTCTCCAGAAAGTGGTGTTTTTCCATTCCGATTGTTTGGGCAGAGCTTCAGCCAGTCTCCTTAAACTAGTCAGACTGTCTGCCCCAAGCTGGTTTTTTTTGTTGTTGTTTGTTTGTTTGTTTGTTTGTTTGTTTTTTGAGACAGAGTTTCGCTCTTGTTGCCCAGGCTGGAGTGCAATGGCGCGATCTCAGCTCACCGCAACCTCCGCCTCCTGGGTTCAGGCAATTCTCCTGCCTCAGGCTCCTGAGTAGCTGGGATTACAGGCATGTGCCACCATACCCAGGTGATTTTTTGTATTTTTAGTAGAGATGGGGTTTCACCATATTGACCAGGATGGTCTCGATCTCTTGACTTCGTGACCCACCTGCCTCGGCCTCCCAAAGTGCTGGGATTACAGGCGTGAGCCACCGCGCCCGGCCCCCAAGCTGGTTTAAGATGCTGGGTAGCATTTCTGTTAGCTGTTTTGTCTCAGCATGGCCTGTAATCGTGAAAGTGTTCGCTGCCAGAGATGCCTGAACTTTAGGGTTGTTAAAGTGGATCACTGTTCCTTGGTTTGTAAACATACTCACCTCTTCAATACCAGAGATATTGTTTACCCCTAACTTCTTTAAGGAGAACTGAAGTTTTCTATCATCTGCTGTGGTTACTCTATGAACCACCTTCTTCTTTCTGCGAGCAGTTCCTTTCCCACCAATGCGCACTTGTGCCTGCAGTTTCTCAAGTTTTTCCTGGTTCATGATTGTTTCTTTCATCTTGTCGGAGCAGATAAGGGGCCGCACAGGGGACTACGGTTGGTGCTCAGGGGGTCTCAGGTGGACCAGCTGAGATTAGGGGCGCACACGTGGGGACGCAAGATCAGGAGTATATATGTTTACAGTCATTTTATCTTCCTCATAAACTGGCTCTTTTTATTTTTTGAGAGTCTTGCTCTGTCGCCAGGCTGGAGTACAGTGGCACAATCTCGGCTTACTGCAACCTCTGGCTCCTGGGTTCAAGGGATTCTCCTGACTCAGCCTCCCAAGTAGCTGGGATTACAGGTGCCCGACACCACACCCAGCTAATTTTGTATTTTTAGTAGAGACGAGGTTTCACCATGTTGGTCAGGCTGGTCTCAAACTCCTGACCTCCGGTGATCCACCGGCCTCTGCCTCCCAAAGTGCTGGGATTACAGGCATGAGCCACCCTGCCCGGCCATATTCATTCCTGTTTGAGACAAAAATCTCACTCTGTCACCCAGGCCTGGAGTGCAGTAGTGCAATCGGCTCACTGCAACCTCCACCTACCAGGTTCAAGCGATTCTCCTGTCTCAGCCTCCCGAGTAGCTGGGACTACAGGTGTGCAACACCACATCCAGCTAGTTTTTGTATTTTTAGTAGAGATGGGGTTTAATTTACCATGTTGGTTAGGCTGGTCTCGAACTCCTGGTCTCAGGATCTCCCTGCTTCAGCCTACCAAAGTGCTGGGATTACAGGCATGAGCCACCGTGCCAGGTCTATTCCTCCTTTATTTTTAAAGGAGAGCACAGGGTTTTGATCTATTCTCAGTCTACTACAGTCAGGAGGTGGCAGGTCAGTGGGCTTGTTACCGCATCCCTGTGTCCTTTCTCTGGGCATAAACTTATCCCGGTTCCACAGCTTACTAGCTATGTGACCTTGGGCTGGGCAACTTATGTCGCTGCTGTGTGCCTGTTTTCTTATATATAAAATGCAGAAAAAATGGTGCTGTGCTCAAGAGTGTTGGAGGGCGATTTAAGACACGTGAAGCCCTTGAGCTGGTGCAGAGCCTACAATAACACTAGCTATAAGCTCATTGGCCCATCAGAAACAACTTGGGAGGGTGGGCCATAGGATTCAATGAGCAACTGAGCTCTTCCCAGCTCCAGGGCGCTCCTCCCTAGATTCTCTTTATATGTATATATATGTGTGTATGTATATTTAATAGAGGAGGGAGGAGGGGCTACACTATGTTGCCCAGGCTGTCCTCCCACCTCAGCCTCCTAAAGTGCTGGGATTACAGGCATGAGCCACCGCCCCAGCCCTCCCTAGATTCCCTTTAATGAATGTCACTTGGTCTTCCTACAGAAGGCTACTAGGCTCAGTAGAGGCAGCCTGTAAACTGGCTAACAGCAAAGCCACCACCCACACAGAAGAACGCTCACGCCATGTTGTAAGCTTTACACATGTGAAGACGACAACGGGCAAAACCCATCCTGTCCTTTTGCAATATTACCTGGGCCTGGAGTGCCTACAACAGCTGGCCCAAGCCTCCTCCCTGTGGGAAGGACTGCTGGAACCATCGTGAAGCTCCAGGTAGGCCTGAGGAGGTGCCTGGGCTCTGCAGGAATCCAGAGAGCAGGTGCCTGGAAACCTCCACAGCAATGAGGGCCACAGACTCTTCCAACTCATATCTGTCCCTGTGTCATTGGCCAGGAAGAAGTTTGTATCCACCCTGCCAGCACTTGGTCCAGTCCCTACTGCCCTCCTTCCCCGGGCCAGGTACCTGTCTCCCAGCCCCACTCTGACCCTCTCCCTCCAAAGCAATTGAGACAGCTGACTCATGCCTCAAGGAAGGCCATTTATTTCCAAGATATAGACTGTACTTTTAAGACAAGACTTTTTCAGAAGCAGGAAAGTTTAGTTGTTGCCAGAGAGGTGTGTCAAGGACACAGTGACAGGCGCCATGCGGACGTGGGGTGGGAGGTTTTGTCCAACACTGTTACAACACTTTTGTAAATGAGCAAAACATCTTTAAAAATCCTTATAAATTCTTTATAGTATGTTACACATTTAGAGACAATATTTACAATAAAAGGACGGGGGGGAGGGAAAGAAATCTACTTTACAGTAAATTTTTGCATAAAACAAGAGGACTGATAGGGGTGGCAGCAGGCTCACCATCCCCCTGGGCTTCCCTGGAATGAGTGAGGGTGTGTGGGGGCCGGCCTGGTGATTGGAGCTCTATTTACAACAGGAACAGCCCAGCTCCGACCCCATAAATCAGTGTGTGACAGACACACCGGGGGTGTTGACCATCCCCTCTCCTAAGGGGAAGAAGGTGGGCTTCTGTGTGCCTGGGTTGTGGAAGGAACAGGCACAGATAGAAGAGGGGTACCAGCAAGGGGGACCCTGGCCCCCCCCACTCCCAAACTGTCTGGAGAATAGGCAGCTGCCCTGGTCAAAGCACGCCGGAGGTGACTCAGGCCAAAGGATGTTGGGGAATAACCCTGGTGAGGGGTTCAGTCCTGCCTCCTGGGGGTGGCCCCAGCCCCCCTTCTCTGGCTCTGACAAGTGAGGAGGGCAGGATCTTTTGTTGCACCAAAGGCAGGGAGCCCTGGGGGGTGAAGTGGGGACCGGGGTGGGGGTAGAGGGGCGGAAGTCGCTACTGGAAACACCTTGGGACAGTGACTGCACACACACTTGCACACACAAGCCCCTCCCCCCATGGACATACGCACCCTACACCGCCTCTCCCCAGACACACATCCCCACTTAGGAGCTAATGAGGTGGGACGGCAGAGGGAAAAAAGCAAAAAGCCAGCATCACCCAGGATCTTTCCTTAGTCAAACTTAGGGGTTCCCTAGCCACACCCATGGTCCACAAGGGTCCCCAAGTGCAGCCACAGAAAGGCTCAGGAGGACCCATTGGGTGCACGTATGCAGGGACACAGACGCCCCCTAGCAGCCCCTACCTTCTCTGGAACCCCTTCCGTTCAACTCTTGGTCCAGCTCCAGCCTTCTCCTCTGCCCACCCCCTGCCAGTTCCAGCACACAAACTAGAGACCTGGCCGGCACCCAGGGGCCACAGAAGAGGGGGTGCAGGCCGGAGGAGCCTCCTGGTTCCCAAGCGGCATGGGAGGTGGGGATCACAGACACTGATGCAGGCGGGAGGTGGCCGAGCGGCGTGGGGGCTGGCTCTGCAGAGCCCCCGGGTTCCCGGACGTGGGCGGTAGCGAGGCTGCAGACGACGGAGCCCGCACCTTGGTGGACTCCAGGCTGCTGAGGCCGGAGTCCTTGTTGTCACTGTGCGCCCGCGCGCCCGCAGGCTCCGGGGGGCCCCCTCCACCCAGCTCCTTCCACTCGTTGAAGTTGAGGTCGGTCAGCGGGCTCTGCACCACCACCGTGTGGCGGCGCCAGCTGCTCCGGCGCCGCCGGGTCTCGGGTGATAGCGGCCGCCGCAGGCGCACGGCCAGCATGTCGTCGGCTGTGCCGCGGAGCCGCAGCCGCAGCGCCTCCATGCGCGAGGGCCGCGAGCCCAGCGCCGCCACCGGGGGCCGCAGCGACTCCTGGCTGCTGGATGACGCCGAGCCGGGCGGCTCCGGGACGCGGGGACCACCCCGGCCCACGCCCTCACTGTCCGGGCGTGCCCGGGCCAGGCGGCGGCGCGCCAGGGTGTCGCAGGGCATGAGGTGGTGCGAGCTGAAGGACGGCCGGCGCGCCAGGCGCCCCCCAGGCCCCGCGCCCTCCGTGTCCGTCTCCACGTGGCTCAGCTCGCTGCGCTCGTCGTCCGCCTCGTCCCCTGCGCCCGCCCGCCGGCCGCCCACGCCCGAGCACACGCTGCGGTCCATGGTGGACAGGGTGGAGTAGCCCGACACGATGGAGCGGGTGTCCGCAGCCGGCCGCTCCTCGGGCGCCGCCGGGGGGCTGAGGCGTCCTGGAGCCTCGGGGGCAACGGCGCCCGGCAGCGGCCCCTGCGGCCGCTCCTGAGCCCCCGGTGCTGTGGCCCCCGCCCCGGGCTTGTGCGCCTCCTGCTCCGAGTCGTCGTCCGTGCTGCTGCCCAGCCCCCGCGCCTCCCGCCGCTTCTTCCGCTTGCGGTTGACGGCCGAGATGAAGGAGATCGCCAGCATCTCCCGGGCGTACGGCTCCTTCTTGGGGGCCCACGAGCCCTGTGCGGGAGACAGGTCAGGATGCGGGGGACGCCCGGACTCGGCCTTGGGCCGACCCGCTCTTCCCAGTCCTCATCATAAAACGCTCCTCCCTCCAGCCCTGTGCCGCCCTCCGTCCAGAGACTACCCCTGCGCCCCGTCCTGCAGCCAGCACAGCACCCACGAGGGCCCAAATCCCGGCCTGGATAAATCCTTTAAGACACGGCTCTGGTGATGACAGTCTCTCCACAGTGAATAACGCTTGGCAGCCTGAATCCGTTTCACACATGCCCTGGGGTGTCATCCCAAGAGCCCGGGCAGGGGCGCTCTCTGACCACAAAACCCCCACCTCTTCTCCACGGGCCACCAACTGGAAACCTGCCTTCACCTGCTCAGCATCTACAGGCCTCAAACCCGCCCCAGTTCACATCCTCCCCTTTCCACAGGACCCCACCAGCTCCCCACCCGGCCAATCCCCAATCCCAGACAGCTCTTCCCCTGAAAGTGGCTGAGATCCCCTATGGTGTCATGATTCGGATTGGAGCCACCCCCAAACTGATTTCCAACCCCAAGCTGGGCAACTTCATGCCCTGTTCTCACCTGGACCAGCCCTCACGGCTACACCCTGTGTGTTGAGGGCCCTTGCTGCCAGCCAAGGCCTCTGGAAGCTGAAGCTGGTTTTCACCCTTCCTTCTGGCCTCTCCCTCTGCCTCTTGGGAGGGGAGAGGCTCTTCTTCCCCCCGCCCCTTCCATCACTAAGCCTTAGTGTTCCCAGGATTCTGCTCTTGGCCCCTTTGCTTCTCTGTTCATGTTCCCTAGAAAACACCCTTCCCAAGCAACACTGCTATCCAGGCGTCCCTCTCCAACACCGCACTCTCTTGAGCTCCAGGACTCTTCTTCCCATTGCAAATCCACTTCTACCTGGGTGTGTGTAGGCTCCTAAAACCTATCCGGAACCACAGCGTCCTATGTACCCCTGCCCCAAACTGCCTCCGTTCATGTTCCTCACCTTAGGGCAGTCCTGTGACTCCTCCCTCTCTCCACCACTCACAGCCAAGTCCTGGATTCTTCTGAAACGGCTCCCAAAGCCAACTCTTCCTTCTCTGGCAGGCCCTCTCTGGGCCCTCCCGCCCCTCCTGACAGGGTTTCCTGCCTCCACCCTTGCCCCAGCCTGGGCCCCTCCTCCAGGGCAACCATTCCGAAGCAGGAATCTGATCCTCAGCCAGCTTTGCTCAGAAGCTTGCATGACCCAGCACTCACCAGGATGAAGCACATTCCCCCAGCTCAGCACATAGGGCTCTTGACAACCTGGCCCCAACTTACCCAGCCTACTGCCCTGGCCCAACCTTAACCCAGCCTTCACTGTGGAAACCCTTTGATGTGACATACACTGTTACATTGCTGGCAGCCCTTAATGTCCCCCTGCCCTATTCGCTGGACAAGCTCCTACTCACCCTACAAGGCCCAGCTCAAATGTGGCTTCCTCTGTACAGCAACCTCCCAGCCCTCCCCTTTCCTGAGATGGGCGATCACTTCTCTATATTCCTGTAGTCTCACTATGCTCCTAGCTTTTCTCACATCAACCTCATCCAACTCTGAACTCCGTGAGAACAAGGGCTGTGACTTGGTTGTTTCTTCATGGCACATAATGGGTGCTCAATAAACGTGAAATGAACAAACAACTGGCGAATGAAATCCCCTTAACACAGGAAGCCTTGCAGAAGCAGACGCTAGGACTGGTTCCTGTCTTGGGCAAGAATAACCTGACAAGGTCACGCTGCCCTTCAACCCCTCCTCACAGACCACCTGCTGTTTCAGCCATGGTATAATAATGAATAGAGGCCCAGATGCCTCTTGTGGCCACTACAGCCACTGTCCTCTCTCTCACTAGTTCTGAGAAAGCCAGAGCATGTCAAGGACTCGGGAATCACAGGCATGTGGCTCCTGGGCCATGGCTGCCCACACTGCGTGACTCCAGAAGGTGCCCCCTGGAGTTGTACAATGTGGTTGCACTGCTACAATCAGCCTGGGGCATGTGGTGGCCAATACTGCTTTCTTTCCTGGCCAGTGCTCTCTGAGAGACTTAAGAGGCCACTGGGATGATCTGAGCACACTACCCTCTCATCCCAGCTGGTTCCAGAAGCAATGAAGTCAGACTGATCTCTCTTCCAAGAAATGCAGAGGTCAGAATATTCACAGAGATAGGGGAGTTAATCCAAGATACACTGCAGGAAAGCAGGAGGGCCAGCAGGAGCAACGGATGAAGGTGAGAAGAACCTGGATGCAGGTCACTATAATGAATTTGCTCCCTGTCACAGCAATCTTATGATGGACTGAGCTCCCTGTCACCAGAGGTGTGCAAGTGCAGGCAGGGGCTCCATGCAGAGCCTACAGGGGACCCTTGCCCCCGGCTAGAGCATTATTATTATTTTTGGAGACAGTCTCCCTCTGTCACCAGGCTGGAATGCAGTGGCGCAATCTTGGTTCACCACAACCTCTGCCTCCTGGGTTCAAGCACTTCTCCTGCCTCAGCCTCCCAAGTAGCTGGGATTACAGGTACCCGGCTCATTTTTAGTATTTTTAGCCATGTTGGCTAGACCGGTCTTGAACTCCTGGCCTCAAGCGATCCTTCCACCTTAGCCTTCCAAAGTGCTGGGATTACAGGCGTGAGCCACCATGCCCACAGCTTTTTCTTTTGTCCAGTGTATTCATCTGACACACCCTGAGCACCTGCCAGGTATCAGGCACAGGCCTGCGGGGTGGGCTTATAAACCTGGCCAGTGCAGCACTCAGAGACCCAGACAGGTATGAGCCCAGTTCTGCCAGCCAGTGATTAGCTGATTTCACCCATCACTATGGACTAAACTGTGTGCCCCCTAAACTCACATGTTGAAGCCCTTACCTCCAATTTGGAGATGAAGCCTTTGAGAGATGACTAGGTTTAGGCAAAAATGGGACCTTTTGATGGGATGAGTGCCCTTATAAGAAGGGACATCAGAGGGCTTGTGCTCTCTCGCTCCCTCTTTTCTCTCTGCCTTGCCTTGCAAGGACACAGTGAAAATCTCTCTCTCTCTCTCAGAGTCTCTGTCTGCCTCTCTCTGCCTTGCAAGAACACATTGAGAGATGGTGGCCATCTACCCATCTACCATCTACAAGACAGGCAGGGAACCCTCAGAAATGAGCCATGCTGGCACCTTGATCTTGGACTTCTAGCCTGTAGAACTGCGAGAAAATCAATTTCTGTTGTCTGAGGCACCTAGCTATGGCATTTTGTTACAGCAGCCTAAGCTGACTTTATACCCACCCTGCCCTCAAGCTCTAATCTCCCAGCTGGGCAGGGTCACCCAGGGCAGGCCTCATCTCCTAACGGGTTCTGTCTCAGAGGGGAGGCTCTGGAGCAGGAGACTTGCTGGTTGTGAGACCTGGCGCAAGTAGCTCCTCCAGCCTGTTTCCTCAACGGCAAAATCAGGACAATTCTGTCTCTAACTCACAGGGCATCTGTGAGGACTAGTAACTCTGAGCAGAGTAACACAGCAGATGCTCAGTAAATTCTAACTATTCATGTTGTTGGGTACTTTAAACTTAGGTATCAGTGATGACCAAAGGCATTACTGACAATGGCTGAACTGACACCTGCCAAACAAGCTAATCACCAGCCCAACTACTCTGGTGAAGGTGCTCTTAACTGGAGTCTCTAGGTGGGCTTTGGGGGTCCATGAACTCCTTGAACTTGCTGTAGGATTTTTGTCTTTCTGGAGCAAGGGTGCATAACTTTCCTCTTTTTTCTTTTTCTTTTTGAGATGGAGTCTCACTCTATCCCCAGGCTGGAGTGCAGTGGCACAATCTCAGCTCTCTGCAACCTCCGCTTCCCCAGTTCAAGCGATTCTCCTGCCTTAGCCTCTTGAGTAGCTGGGACTACAGGCACGTGCCACCACCCCCAGCTAATTTTTGTATTTTTAGTAGAGACAGGGTTTCACCATATTGGCCAGGCTACTCTCGAATTCCTGGCTTCAACTGATCTCCCCACCTCAGCCTCCAAAAGTGGTAGGATTACAGGTATGAGCCACCATGCTTGGCCTCCTCTGATTCCTGAAGGGGCCTGAGACCCAAGGTAGATGGGTTCTAGTACCTGTTATCAATGCAAACGTTTTCATGTGGCCAGCTCTCCCTCGTCGGGGTCAGGGTCATGGAGAAGTTTCTTATGGGGCAAGGGTTGGGGCCAAGGAGTATGAGGAACTTGAATAAGGCAGGGCTGGGGAAATGAGACAGAGCCTGGTCAGGAGCTAGACTTCTCCCTGTACCAGTGGGGGTGCTTGGGGATTACCGCAGGCAGTTAAGAAAGCTGAGCGGTAGGTGAGAGACCACCAGAGAAGACAAAAGTGGTCCCCTTCCCCAAGAACTTAAGATAAAGGGAGTGGGGTGCAATGGCTCATGCCTGTAATCTCAGCACTTTGGGAAGCCAAAGCAGGAGGATCCATGGAAGCCAGGAATGCAAGAACAGCCTGTGCAAAGCAGACAGACCCCATTTCTACAAAAAATTAGCGAGGAGTGGTGGTGTGTGCCTGTAGTCCCAGCTACTCAGGAGGCTGAGGCGGGAGTTAGAGGCTGCGGTGAGCTGTATTCAGCCCACTGCACTGCAGCCTGGGAGACAGAGTGAGACCGTGTCTCAAAAACAAAAGATGATAAGGGAGCCTTCTGAGCATTACACAGCTCCACTCCACCCGCCACGGAGCTGAGAGACTGCCACATGTGCCTGCCCACACCCTACTCACACAGCCACAGCCAAAACCATCCACACAGGGAGGCACAATTGGAATGTGGCTGTAACTTAGGGCACCAACAACGCCTGGGTGTCCTGGACACAGCCTGGAGAAAGACTAGAGCCGGGGCTGTCACATGTACAACAGTGGCTTTTTATGAGCTTGGGAGCACTCTGTCCAAATGGAATCCTCCCTAGAAACCCAACGATGTGAGACGGAACCAAGAGCCACTCAGAGCGACGCCGTGGGAGCTGGGGTCCCTGCCTGCTTGGTCCTCTCACACCGCTGTGGTCACAACCCCACGGCGGCTCCAGGGAACGCTTTGACAATCACTGACCCGGGTTTTAGAGGTGGGCAAAAGAGACACGGCAATCGTGAGTGTCCAGCACTTGCAGGGTTTGTGCCCACCCTCAGCGCTCACAACCTAGTGGGGGGCCAGGCCCTGGTGCCCAAGGCAGCCCCTTCCCTACGGTCGAGGCAGGAGGCCGCAGGCTCTCCTGGTGCCTCCCACTTCCCTGACGCCAACTCCTGGTCTCCCCAGTAGATGAGACTGAGACCACGAGGGCACACACAACTGAACATCCCTCTCCCTGCGGCAGTTATTCCTATCACTGTATTTCAGAGACTGGCAGCCTGGTCCGTGCTTCCATTTCTTAGGGGCTGGGCCTACTGGTTTCAGCTCAGGCTCGGGATAGAGCCAGTCCCTACGCCAGAAAATCAAGAACCACTCCAAGCCTGACAGCAGAGGATCAGAACTCAGACGCCAGAGCACCACCAAGGAGGGCGGCCACCTAACCAGCTCCCCTCCCTGAGGCCCAAGAATATGCCCAGTCAAACTTCTAGTTACTTAAGTTCTCTGAGCCTTGGTTTCCACATCTGCAAAATGGGGATGGTACAAAACTCAAGGGTCTTCCGTAAAAATGAAATGAAACCAATGTTTGTGAAAAGTTCTCTGCGTGGTGGCTGACACCTAGTAAATGTGCATTTCCTCCTCTTTCATCTCATGCCAGCGATAGTGATGACCTCAGTGAAGTCTGAGTCAGTTTACAGTACAGACGTCCTCTCTTAAAAGCACATTCTATTGTTCAAGCCCTATGACTGAGAAGGCCTCTACAGGAGCTCCCAGCCTAACACAGGAGTCAAGGCCCAGACGGGGAAGCGGTAACCGCTTGTGCCTCGGGAGGAAAGAATTTCAAGCCAGGAGGCTTCAGGGAGGTGCTGGCCTGTGAGCTCTGGGGAGGTCGGAGCTAAGTCCACTGGAGATGGGGTGGGGTCACAGGAAGCAGAGGAGGACATCGTCTGGCCAGAAGGGGCTCTCAGGGGACTGTGGAGAAGCCAGGCCCAAAGGGGTGGGGCAGGGCTGCCGGGCAAAGTGCTGGCTCTTGAGAAGGGGCTGCAGCCTTTGGAGGCCTCGACCCCTTCAGGAAATCTGCCTTGCTTCATGGGACTCATTTCAGACTTCCTTCTCTCTACTGACTTTCCCTGCCACCTTCACGCTCAGCAGAGGGCCTCACCTCCACTTCGCTGAGGAAAGAGCCATCAGCTGGGGGTGCCCCAGTGACCTCCTGCCAACACTGCCTGCAGGTGTGCCCCTGCCCCCCCCCCCCCACCTGCTGATGCATCTGCCGGGAGCACAGGCTATTGCTGCCTCATGGGCTCAGGGCCCAGCTCTTTCTCTTTCTCTCCCCCCTCTTCTCTCGCCTGAATCATTCCCATTGGCAAGTAAATATGTGCTTTTGTCTTTTGTTTCTGAGACAGGGTCTTGCTCTGTTGCCCACGCTGGAGTGCAGTGGCATGATCACGGCTCACTGCAGCCTCAACCTCCCAGGCTCAAATGATCCTCCTGCCTCAGCCTCCTGAGTAGCTGGGACTACAGGCATGCACCACTGTGCCTGGTTAATAATTGTATTTTTTGTGGAGTTGAGGTCTCACTATGGTGTCCAGGCTGGTCTCTAACTCCTGGGCTCAAGGGATCCTCCTACCTCGGCCTCCAAATGTTTTGGGATTACAGGCGTGAGCCATTACGTCTGGCTGTGTTCATCTTTTAATGAAAGCTTTCCTCACGCCATATTTTCCCATGATTGCTCTGTAAATCTGTCTTCACAGCTGGACTTCTCAGCAGAGTGGTCTATGCATGCTCTCTTCCCTCCCCCACTGTATTAGCTCGTTCCATCTGGCTTCTGCCTCCACGGTACCCCCAAACCTGCCAGACAGTCTATTTGTTCATTAGCTTAGTGTCTGTCTCTCATTAGAAGCCAAGCTTCATGAGGGCAGGAGCCTATCTGTTTGGGTCATTATTTTTATTTTCAGTACCCAGCACAGTACTGATACAGAGCAGATGTTCAAGAAGTATTGGTGGTATTATCAGATGAATTAGCCCTATCTTTTTCAAAAACATTGTCGGGTTTTGATATCGGGGTAATGCTGGCCTCATAAATGAGTTGGAAAGTGTTTTTCTTCTATTTTCTTTACTTTGAGATGCATTCTCACTCTCGCTCAGGCTGGAGTGCAGTAGTGCTATCTCAGCTCACTGCAACCTCCTCTTCGCAGGTTCAAGCGACTCTCCTGTCTCAGCCTCCTGAGTAGCTGGGATTACAGGCATGAGCCACAGTGCACAGCCATCCTCTTTTATTTTCCAAAAGAGATTGTGGAAAATTGATATTATTTCTTAAATATTTAAATAGCGTTTAAATAATTCCAATATAATTAAAATAACTACTTAAATATTATACCAGCCAGGTGTGGTGGCTCACACCTGTAATCCCAGCACTTTGGGAGGCCGAGGTGGGCAGATCACGAGGTCAGGAATTTGAGACCTACCTGGCCAACATGGTGAAACCCTGTCTCTACTAAAATACAAAACTTAGCCGGGCGTGCTACCGCACGCCCATAGTCTCAGCTACTGGGGAGGCTGAGGCAGGAGAATCGCTTAAGGTTGCAGTGAGCCGAGATCACACCACTGCACTCCACCTTGGGCAACAATGAGACTCCATCTCAAATAAATACTTATTACACCAAAATTTTAAATTATACTATTTTATATTTAGAATATTTCAAAATTATTAAATTGTTTAAAATTTTTAAAATTCCTTAAATATCTGGTAGAATTTACAGTGAAACCATCTGGTCCTGGAGTTTTCATTGTCAGGGTGTTTTAAATTACATATTCAATTTCTTTGAGAGGTATAGGACTATTCAGGTTATCTATTTTTTTCTTGGGTTTTGGCAGTTTGAATCTTTCAAAGAATTGGTCTATTTCATCTAAGTCATTAAATTTACAGGCAACTTTATGCCCGTAAGTTCAATAACTTAGGGATGTAGTGATGTCTCTCTTTCATCCCTGATTCTGATCATCTGTGCCATCTTCTTATTCTGTCAGTCTGGCGGGAGGCTTGTCAATTTCACTGATTTTTTTTTTCCCCCCCCCAAAGAACCAGCTTTTGGTTTCATTGCTTTATTCGACTGTTTTTGATTTAATGAATTTCTGCTCCTCTCTATTTCCTGCTGTTTGTTTTAGGCTCTCCAAAGACCTTAAAGAATATTTATTTATTATAATACCCCACATATGTATTGTTATCCCCATTTTACAGATGAGAAAACTGAGGCTCAGAAAGAGGTTAAGTGACTTGCCCAATGTCCAAAACTACTAAATGGTGGCGCCAGAACTCAAACCCGAGACTGTCTGACTCCAGTCTGTGCTTCTAACCACTGAACCACACTGCCTTGCAGTCATGTAACTCCCAGGCCAGGCCCTTCTACTACACCAGACGCCTTACCAAACACTGCCACGGTAAGCAGCTTCTCAGCTTCCCTTGAGCACTCAGTACCTCCCACCTTCCCTCCCAGGGACCATCAGCTTTTCCCATGGTCCAGCTGCCATTCCCTCAATTCCCTTGAACAAAAACCAAAGTGGGCTGGCTTGTGCAGGGAAAAGCCTTCAGAATTGCCTTCACACGTACCTTGGACTTGGCTGAACTACAGGTGGCAGAATCTGTTGGTGAGACAGAAAAAAAAAAAAAAAAAAAAAAAAAAAAAAAAGGAAAACTGCATCAGGGAAAAAGAAAGCTGAATCTTATGCATACAATTCCCTCTCCTCAGAGGCTTCAGAAACCAGGGAATTCTGAAACATGAGATCTCCCCGGGCCCTAAGAGTATGATGGACTTCTGATGTCACTTTCTAAGGGATAGGGGTGGAGCAGAAAGTGATGTTAATTGCCACTTCCTCTAGAGGCAGGAAGTGAAATCAGGCTGCCAGCCACAGGCCCCATATTTATAGATGGCTAAGGGCAAGGGGGCATTGTCTTTGAGCCTGGTTCCTCTCCCTTTCCCCTCCTGTCCTGTCCCGTCCCTGTTACTCTGAAGCACTGGAGAGAAAATGCCAAATATCAGATGCAGTCCATGGAAACCACCACAGTGAAACACAGCAAATCACGGATGCTCTGGAGAAATGGAGACCACACAGTGCACAGAGGGTGCCCTACATCTACCCCCCAGCACACGAGAAAAAACCAGCCACGTGAATAATGGATACAACGGCAGAAATGAAGTGGGTGGGATGCAGGAGGTGGAGTAGGCTGGTGATTAGAGCCTTGAGAGGTTCTACCTCCGGACCGGGGGTCACCCTGCCTCTTCTCCTGGGGACCCTCATGGGCAGACTCCCCGCTATAACCAGAGCTATGAAGGAAACTAAAATCATTACTTCTAAGGGACTTGGGTCCCCCCTCCCTTAATATCACTGGGGTGGAGAAGGAACCAGAAACACGTCCTGGCAGGTCCTCTCCAAGGCCAGAGGGAGCAGGTTGGTCCAAGGGCCTCCCGGGGTCCCAAAGGATAGTGGGCAGGTGCGGTTAATCCACACTCTCGGGCAGGCAAGTTAGATGCCCCCTCTCCAGACCCCTCCCCCTGCACAAGGTGAGAAAAGCAAGATGGGCAACCACACACGACACACGGGACACACGGGGCGGGCGGGGGCGGCGGGTGATTAGAAGAGACACGGGGCCCCTCTCTGCCCGGCCATCCCCACATCTTCTGGCCCCTCCTGAGCCTACCTCTGGAGACTAGGGAGCTCCTGTGTGCCTCTGTCAGAGACAACAGAAATTCTAAAGGGTGGCACAACCATGGTGGGGTAGGAGTCAGTGGCTGCAGCCATAAAGGGAGTGGCCACTCATCTGTCTCTGAGCACAATCATCTGTCCTCTGCCATGAGAGGGCCAGACGCCCTGCAAACAGGATTGAGAGCCCTAGTTTCTTAAGCAGGAAGAGGCGGCCCATTGGGGTGACTGAGGCAGGAGTTAGAGATAAACTTCTGGGCGTGGCATCACTGGTCTCCAGGGAGTCTGGGTCTCTGTCCGGATGACCAGCAGTGGTGAGGCTTGGCACAGAGAGGCCACAGGGTGGCACTGCGGGAGGGCGGCAATCTGATGCCCAGGCATCTAGGCGACGGGGAGGGCCCTAGGCCCAGTGAGAAGGGGCTTTAGGATGGGAGAGGTATGGGCTGCTGGGTAAGTGGTTAGCAAGCAGGGGTAACTGGCATGTCAGGGTGGGGTCCTCACAGCCTGGGGTATTCTGCCTGCCTCTGTGCCCACCCAGCCTTCTTATAATCACCCGCCACTGTTAGTGACCGAGGCCGCGACACCGCACTGTACCCTTTAAATCTCCAATAGGTCCGCTGGAGGAGGAGAGGGGAGGATCGGAGGAGGGGATGGAAGGAGAGCAAGGGAGAGGAGGAGGGAGAGGCGGGGACGCAAGGAGAAAAGGAAGAAAAATTATCAAGAGGAACATGCCCAGGACACAGCCAGCCCATGGGAAATTAAAGGCCGAGGAAAGAAACCAGTGAGAGAGGGTGAGCAAAGCTCCGACCCGGCCTGGGGCGGGCACCTGTGCAGACCGGAGGCAGCACGGGGGGGAGCCGGACTTCCCTAGGGAGGGAGCAGGCCCCCAACAGCCCCGTCTCCATGGTGGCAGGCAGGCGAGGGCCCCACTGGGGTGGCACAGGGAAGCTGGGCATCTGGCCAGACATCTGGGACCCTCAGGAACACAGTGCCCACCCTCCCGCCTCCCCACACCCAGGCCCCTGTGCTCACCTGACCCTGGGTCACCAGGGGGCACTGTCCTGCCAATGTTGGGCAGGAGGTACTCAATGTTGGGCACTGCCTGAGGCTCCTTGTCGCCCACAGGGGTCTGCGAACAGGAGGAGGGGTCAGCTGGCATGCCCTTGGATGCTAGGCTGCCAACCCCGAAGAGGGGGGTGCCCTGATGACAGGGCCCATGTCTCCTCCATCAAACCTGGCTCACCGGGGCAGGGACCATCTCCCTTACCAGCCGGGCACTCTCGAGGATGGTTCCTACATGTCCCCTATGAGACGGTTTTGTGCATTCCTCAATACCTCGGAACCAAGAAGCCCAGAGTGGCCCCTTCAGCTGGGGGCAGGGGCTGTGTCACCCACCACTGGACTGGAGCCCCTCCAACCTGTGTCCTTCCCAGTAGCCCAGAGCCTGGAGCTGCTTACTCCTGAACTGGGTTCCCCCTGAGCAAGCCCTGTAACTGCCAAATTAGACTGGGGCCTCCTGAAGGCAAGCTTTGTGCCTCCCTATCAGACTTGGGGCTCCTAAGGAGAGGGTGTTTCTTCCATCAGACTGGGGAACCCCCAAGGACAGGCACCTTCCCTGGCCTGTGTCCCACTGCCCGTCCTGCCCCCAAGGACTAGGGCCCACGCCAGCCCAGCCCCCGGCATCACTTACTCTCTCTCCCTTGTCCTCTTCATCGCTGAAGAACCAGTCTGACTGCAGAGGAGACAAAAGGGAGGGATGAAATCTGTGTGGGAAAGAAACAGCTCCTCCACCTGCTCCCTCCAGAGGACCCACACAGCGGCAAGGGGTGCTCCTCTCTCAACCCCAGGCTGGTGGGGCTAGAGAGAGGGCTCAGAGGGAACCTGACTCGGCCCTGGAGCCTGACTCCACAGACTATGTAAAACCCTGGGGGAGAGAAAAGGTGGGACCCCAGTGTGGGAGGAAACTTGGCCTGGAGTGGAAGGGGCCTCCTCGGTTGGGAGGTGGGCTCAGGGAGAGCTTCACTTTTTACTTTTCTCTAAACACTGTCCTAGGCACAGCCCTATGGTACCTTCCCCATGGTGAGTAGGGGGGCAGAGTGCCCTCAGTGCCGGCCACATCCATGGCCGTGACAACCAAGTGGGCCCCATGCCACCTGCCACATAGGTGCCACACTGACAACAGGGGCATCATGTACCAGCCCAGAAAAAGAAAATGCCAGGAGAAAGGTGTTGGAGGTTTCCTGAGGGGCAGGAGTCGAGAGCTTTCTCATAAAGGCCAAACAAGAGAGAAAATAATGACCCCCACACTTTATTTTGTGAAATTTGAGAATCTTGAAGGTAAAATTCTAAGTTTTCTAGGAAAAAATCCAGATTGCTTATAAATGAACACATATCACAGGTACTTGGAACCTACAGCAGCAAGAAACAAGACAAGAAACTAACAGTTTCAATGTGTTGAAAGAACCTAGAATTTTATACCCTGCTAAACTCTCTTTTAAATTTGAGTGTGAAATAAAGCTATTCTTTTTGTTTTGTTTGATGGACTCTCGCTCTGTCACCCAGGCTGGAGTGCCGTGGCATGAACTCAGCTCACTGCAACCTCTGCCTCCTGTGTTCAAGCGATTCTTCAGCTTCAGCCTCCCAAGTAGCTGGGATTACAGGTGCACGCCACCATGCCTGACTAATCTTTGTATTTTTAGTAGAGATGGGGTTTTGCCATGTTGGCCAGGCTGGTCTTGAATTCCCGACCTCCAGTGATCTGCCCACCTCCACATCCCGAAGAGCTGAGATTACAGGCGTGAATTACTGCACTAGCTTTGAAATCAAGCTATCCTGAGACATCAGAAACTTTACTACACAAAGACTCTCTTGAGTACTTGAGCAAGTCAAGAGATGAACTTCGGAGCAAGCTCCAAGAAGTAACTAAGGCACTTTGGCTTTTATTCTATTATTTTTTTTAATTATTCTTTTTCCTTTTTCTTTTTGGGACAGGATCTCTTGCTGTTATCCAGGTTGGAATGCAGTGGCATGATCCTAGCTCACTGCATCCTTTAACTCCTGGGCTCAAGAGATTCTCCCACCTCAGCCTCCCAAATAGCTGGAACTACAGGCATGTGCCACCTCACACAGCTGATTTAAAAAAAATTTTTTTTTTTTTGTAGATTTTGGGATTACAAGCATGAGCCACTGCACCCCACCAGTTTTGGCTTTTAGATGTGGTGGAAGGAAGACACAGAAACTGATAAGCATTAGAAATCAACAGTGACAGACCGGGCACAGTGGCTCCCACCTGTAATCCCTGCACTTTGGGAGGCCGAGGCAGGTGGATCACCTGAGGTCAGGAGTTCGAGACCAGCCTGGCCAACATGGTGAAACCCTGTCTCTACTGAAAACACAAAAGTTAGCCGGGTGTGGTGGCGTGCACCTGTAATCCCAGCTACTTGGGAAGCTGAGGCAGGAGAATCGCTTGAACCCGGGAGGTGGAGGTTGCAGTGAGCCAAGGTCGTGCCACTGCACTCCAGCCTGGGCAACAAGAGCGAGACTCTGTCTCAAAAAAATAATACAAAAATTAGCCAGGCATGGGGGCATGCACCTGTAATCCCAGCTACTAGGGAGGCTGAGGCAGGAGAACTGCTTGAACCTGGGAGACGAGGTTGCAGTGAGTCAAGGTCGCACCACTGCACTCCAGCCTGAGCAACAAGAGTGAAACTCCATCTAAAAAAAAAAAAATTAAGAAAATTACCCCTTACTTCCCTCAACACCTGTGAAAGAACAGGAATAGGCAATTTACAGTCCCATTCATGTAGACTTAAAACACAAAAAGAAAGGCTGGGTGTGATGGCTCATGCCTGTAATATCAGTACTTTGGGAGGCTGAGGCGGGTGGATCACCTGAGGTCAGGAGTTTGAGACCAGCCTGACCAACATGGAGAAACCCCGTCTTTAAAAAAAAAAAACACACACACACACAAATATTATATACATTTAAGGATAGCCATGTATTTACAATAATCGGAAGGTGGCCTGGAAGGACACATTAGGCTATTACAGTGGGTGCCTGGGGCTGGGGAGAACAGAGTGGGTCCAAAATGGAGGGAAACAAGCGGATTTGCCCGAGCATGCATCATAAGCCTCGGTTATTATCAATCATGATCAGACATGCGATTAACTCAAACAGCACAGGAAGGTCAGAAGGGAAACAAGAAAGAGACAGAAGAAAACAAAAGAAGATAAAAATGCAAGCTCTGGCTGGGCGCAGTGGCTCACACCTGCAGTACCAGCACTTTGGGAGGCTGAGGCAGGTGGATCACCTGAGGTCAGGAGTTCAAGACCAGCCTGGCCAACGTGGTGAAACCCCGTCTCTTCTAAAAATACAAAAATTAGCCAGGCATGGTGGCGCACGCCCATAATCCCATAAGCTACTTGTGGGTGCTGAGGTGGGAGGATCGCTTGAGCCCAGAAGGTGGAGGATGCAGTGAGTGGAGATGGTGCCGTTGCACTCTAGCCTAAGCGATAGAGACTGCCTCAAAAAAAAAAAAAAAAAAAAAAAAAAAAAAAGAAAAGAAAAATGGAAGCTCTGGAGTCAGTCGTCTTGGTTCAAGTTCACCTTAGCCAAGTTACTTTCCCTCTGTAAGTACCTCTTTCCAGGCCTGTGGGGGGAATTAAGAAGAAATACTGTATGGAAAACACTGAGTGCAACACATCGCTCGTGTGTAATAAATGTGAGCTCTCATTCAAAGGTGCAGCTTCCAGAGACAGGCTGACCAAAGGGAGCCTGAGGACTGGCCCAAAGAAGCCAGCCTTTAACTAGGGTTGGAGGGTGCCCAGAAGTACTCTGTAAGCCAGGGCATCTACAGCAAGCGTCTGGGTGGCTGCAGCTCTCGAGAGGAATCCTCAAGAAGATTCATAGTAAGAGGTCACTAGTTCCTGCCACCCTGCTTCTGCACATGCTATTCTCCCCGCCTGGGATGCCCTTTCTCCCTGCTCTGCCTGGCTGAGTTCTCACTGTGGTCTTCTAAGACAGTTCAAGCACTCCCTGCACCCAGGGCAGGGGCGGGTCCTTCTGTGGGGCTTCCTTGGGCATAGCCCAGAGCACGAAGGGATACTGCAAGTGCTTTTAGCAGACACTCACATCCCTGGGAGGAAAGCAGTATTGTCATCTCCACTTTACAGATGAGGAGACTGAGGCACAGCAGGTAAGGAACTTGTCCAGGACCACGCAGCACATAGGGGCAGGCTGGCTCCAAAGCCACTGACCTCAACCCCCTCCCCAACCCCAGGGGGCATTTGCCAATGTCTGGAGACATTTCCGATCGTGACAACTAGGGTGCTATTCCCAGCATCTAGCAGGTGGCAGCCAGCGATGCTGCTCAATGTCCTGTAATATGCAGAACAGCCTCCCACAATAAAGACTTATCTGGCCACGGAGGTCACTAGTGCTGAGGCAGAGAAACATTAGATATCACTGCGTGTGCTGAGTGAGTCCCTGAGCAAATGCCCCGGGGTGATCTTTGGGTTCCATTTGGCTTCGTAAACATAGGTAGGGGCTCTGGTAGCTTGCACATGGGGAGGTGAACACCTGGGTTGCTCTCTTCTCCGCTCTGCCATTATCTTGCCATGTGGCCCCAGGCAAGCCACCTTTTCTCTTTACCCCTCAGCTGCCACCCTCTTTCCGACCTCAAGACTGGTCTGGCTGCCGTAAGTGACAGCACTGCCCTGGCTATGGAGCTTTCGGGCTAGACGCTTGGGTGGACGGGCTTTCAGGGCTCACAGAGCAGGTGGCTCATTCCCTGGACAGTCATCCAGGTCTGATTATGTCCAAATACCAAGGCAGCAGAGAAGGGAAGGCCACCAACTCAGTTAGCTCTCGGGAATGACTCTGGATAGAAAAGTCCAGCTTGGCCAGGCGAGGTGGCTCACACCTGTAATCCCAGCACTTTGGGAGACCAAGATGGGAAGATCGCTTGAGTCCAGGAGTTCAAGACCAGACCTGGCAACATAGTGAGACCTCATCTCTACAAAAAATACAAACATTAGCCAGGTGGCATGGTGGCGTGCATCTTTAGTCCCAGCTACTCAGGAGGCCGAGATGGTAGGATCACCTGAGCCTGGGAGACCAAGGCTGAAGTGAGCCATATTTGTGCCACTGCCCTCCAGCCTGGGCCACAGAGTGAGATTCTGTCAAAAAAAGACAGACAGAAAAGAGAGAAAGAAAAGAAAAAGAAAGAGAAAGAAAAGCCCACCCTGACACAACCTCAATTAGCAATTCGCTCTTTTTTTTTTTTTCTTATTTTTTCTTTAGTTGGAGTTTTGCTCTTGTTGCCCAGGTTGGAGTGCAATGGCGCAATCTCAGCTCACTGCAATCTCTGCCTCTCAGGTTCAAGCGATTCACCTGCCTCAGCCTCCCGAGTAGCTGGGATTACAGCCACGCGTCACCACGCCTGGCTAATTTTGTATTTTTAGTAGATGGGGTTTCTCCATGTTGGTCAGGCTGGTCTCGAACTCCTGACTTCAGGTGATCCACCCACCTCAGCCTCCCAAAGTGTTGGGATTACAGGTGTGAGCCACCACACCTGACCCACTCATTCATTTATTTACTCCACAAACACTAAGTGTCCACTACATGCCAGGCACTAGGGTCAGTGCTAAATGAGACAAACTCCACCTTCTCCACCCTGCCCAGGGCAGGGACTCCCCCTTGGGGCTTTGGCCTCCTTCCCTGAAGACTGCAGTTCCCGACACCTCAGCTGACTTCAGGTCTTGGGCTTCTAGTGGCTTCTCCAGGAGCACAGGGCCAGATGCCCACTCTTCCCTGCTGCTGCCCGCAAAGCACACCCTCATGGGCGGCTCTGGGGCTCCCTGGTGCCCTGGGGAGTAGGCTTTCCCAAGGCCTCATCAGGATCCCCGACGCTACAGGGCAGCCCTGGCCTCCTAGATAGCTCTGGAGTGGTGTTCCCAGTGTCAGGATGCAGCAGGCTGTGATCCTCCCTCCCAGGGCTCGAAGCCCTGACCATGCAGTGAAGGAGAGAGACGGGCAGGCAAGGCCGTTAGCACAGCTCAGCCACCCACCACCTTATCTATTGCCCCGGCCCCCTCTCTCCCACCCAAGCCAGCTCAAAGAGGGACCCAGGAGTCTGCCCTTTGGGTTGGTACGGGGAGGAAAGCACAGGCTTTGGTCAGACAGACCTGGCTTGAAATCCTGGGCTGCCGCTTATTAGCTGTGTGACCATGAGCAAGTCGCTTTGCCTCTGAGCCCGTTTCCCCCTCTGTAAAATGGGGTTGACATGGCCCAGCTTTCCTTCCCTAGTGTCTATGAGGTTTGGGGCTGAGGCTTCCCTTCCTCTGACCAGCTGCCAGTCTTATTTCCCCTGGCACGAGGGGTCTGTTCCCATCCTTTGTGGGTTGTAACAAGAATTGGAAATGGAAAATCTATGATTCATAACATCTGTGCCGGCCCCAGAAGGCGGTGGTGCTGCCTCAGGGTTGGGCTCTGGAAGACCAAAGCCTCCTGCGCCCTCTGCTGGCCACTCTGGGTTCTCCTCCGCCCATGCACAGTAACAAGAACCTGCAGGACCAGGGCTCTTAGCATCTAGGAAGCCATGGGAAGGGAGGTGATCAGCCCAATACACGCCAAGCACTGGTGCCGGATCCCTGTGTCCTGCCCCACCCACCCCTCATTACCGTGGATGTCACCACTACCTCCCCGAAACCTCATGGGGCCAACAGGGAAATTCACTAGAGCCTGATGCCCAGGCCAGACCTTGGCCCCTGTCTGCTCATGTCTGCCAGGATGCGTCTCCAGGGGCCACCTTCTGAGGCTACCCCTTCTGCCCTCCACCAACAGCACCTTCCCTGCCCTTTCTCCTCCCCTGCCTCTCCCCAGGCATCTTGGGTGCTCGGGGGCCTCTTGACTCTCCCTCAGGGGACCCAACATCCCAGGACTGCAGGGATTCTAGGATCCATTCCTGTCTTGCCTTGAAATGCAGCCCGTGGATTTGGGGGGGGCACATACCACCCCAGCCTCATGCTCTAAAGCTGCTGAGCCCTTCCTGGGGCACACCCTGCCACACTGAGGAGTGGGGCTCAGAGGAACCCAGCCCGGGCTCCAGGTGCTGCCAGGCCCCCCCCGGGACAGAGGCTTACGTGCTGGATCAGCGTCTCCACAATCTTGTAGCGGTCAGGCATGTGGGTCACCATGTCTGTCATGTTGTCCTCAGACGTCCTCACCAATGTCGGACCGAAGACTAGGGCCAGGTTCCGGGGTTCCATCTGGACAGAGGAAAGCAGGTCACGGCCAGCATCCTGAACTCAGTCCTCCCTCACTCTGGGACCCTGAAGCCTCTGTCCCCAACTACATCCTGACCCATCCCCAGCCGAGAGGGTGGACACCTCCTTGTATGGGCGTGGAGATGCTAGATGAGTAGAGCACAGGCCAGATTTTGGCCCCATTCATCCCCAGGCCCAGCAGCCATGAGCAGTGCCCAACCTGCACACCTGTACAGGGCAGCCCTGAGTGGTCAATGCTGGCTGTGGGAGACCCTGCAATAGGAAACATATTAGAGGTCCCTGGGGTTATTTTAGGCCTGGGAAAAAAATCCAATCACTTCCAGGTGCCTGTAATCCCAGCTACTCAGGAGGCTGAGGCAGGAGAATCACTTGAACCTGGTGGGCAAAGGTTGCAATGAGCAGAGAACGCGCCATGACGCTCCAGCCTGGGCGGCAGAGTAAGACCTCGTTTCAAAAAAACAAAAAATCCTATCACTCCCCTCATTTTCCCCACTGCAGAACGAGAAGGTATAAGGGGTCTGATGAGGAAAATGCAATTTGAGGGACTTGAGCCGAGTCAGAGGATGGCAATGCATAGGATATGGGGGGCCAGGGTTCCCCGCCTCTGGACAGCCCCTCAGAAACTCAGGAGACGTCGGCGGGGGGAGGCCGGGAAGGAGGAAGATGGAGCAGTCATAGGAGGAGGGCGTGCCTAGCGGGGCCTGAGTCGTCACACCTGGGCCTGCAGGAGCTCGGTAAGTGCTGAGGGCCCCCACACAATAAGTCCTGTGCTTGCCTCCCCCAGGCTCCATGCGGGCCCCTACCCACCTTGTTTTTCTCAGAGTGGTCGGCGATGGTCTTGAGATGGCCCACAAGGAATTTGAGCGTTTCATAGTAGTGTGCTGGGAGATCCCGGATCTGAGCAGGAGACAAGAGGGCAGGGGGCCAGGCTGTTAGGACCTCCCCCTGTCCCCGTCACACCATGCCCCAAAGAGCTCCCACTACCATGCCTCAGGGAGTCTGGAATCTACTCTCACCACCCGTTCTGTTGGGTGGATGGGGAAACTGAGGCCCTGAGTGGAGCAGGGCTCCTGCAAGGCCACAGGGATCATCGGCAGCACCGGCCTCCCGGCCTCCGGCTTCCTGGGACAGAGGTGCCCGGGCGGCCGACCCACCTCGGGCCTAGCAGCACCTCTCACTCCTTACCAGCTTCCTCAGCGTCCTCATCCGCTCCCGTGCGTCCTCAATGCGGTTGGCCTCGATGAAGTCGTTGTATTTGTCTAGAACACAGCGGACACTCTTTAGAGAGGTGGGGGCAGCACCTTTGTCTGTTCTCTGGGTGGACTTCCGGACCAAGGGTCTGCTGGGAGGGGGCTTCCGGGCCGAGGGCCTGCTGGGAGGGCTGTGTTTTGTGTCTGTGACCAAACACACCACAGCTGCATTCGGGCGTGCACCTGACCCAGGGTAGCCCAGGTGTGTTCATTTGGGAAGCAATAAGCTCTGAGCTGCAAGCTGATCCCAGAAAAGGGGTCCCTGCCCCCTGTCTCCAGGACATGGACAGCAAGGTTCAACAGGTCAGAAGAGAAGGTCACCTGGAGAGGAGGAGGGGCCTCAGACACCCCCTGCCAAGAATTCCCCCAACTCCCTCCAGAACAAGTTCACAGGGACCTTTAAAACATAGAACATGATAAGCCTATTCTGAAATTCATCTGGATGAGCTAATGCACAAAGACAGCCAGGAATAGTTTTTAAGAAAGAGTGACTCTGGAGAATCTGCCCCACCAGAGATGGAAACATCCTGAAAGGAGGGCACAGCTGACGCCGGCTGGTGCAGCAGAAAAGGCAGAGCAATGTTAAGGCTAGAAGGGGGGTCAAAGGGGCCGTGTGGATGTTTACTATATGATAAAGACAGCACTTCCAATGGGGGAAGGATGGGGGCCCCAACAGATGTCCCCAGGACAAATGGCTACCATCTGGGGGAGGATTATTTCTAGCTCACAACACACAAATTTAATCATATGGCAGAGCCAAATGTGAAAATTATAAAAGCATTGGGGAAAAAATAAGAAAATATTTTTATAATTCTAAGGACATTCTTTTTTTTTTTTTGAGACGGAGTTTCGCTCTTGTTACCCAGGCTGGAGTGCAATGGCGCGATCTCGGCTCACCGCAACCTCCGCCTCCCGGGTTCAGGCAATTCTCCTGCCCCAGCCTCCTGAGTCGCTGGGATTACAGGTACATGCCACCATGCCCAGCTAATTTTTTGTATTTTTAGTAGAGATGGGGTTTCACCATGTTGACCAGGATGGTCTCGATCTCTTGACCTCGTGATCCACCCGCCTCGGCCTCCCAAAGTGCTGGGATTACAGGCTTGAGCCACCGCGCCCGGCCCTGGTCACATTTTAAACAATTGTTTTCGGCCAGTTGTGGTGGCTCACATCTGTAAGCCCAGCACTTTGGAAGGCTGAGGCACACTGATCACTTGAGGTCAGGAGTTCAAGACCAGCCTGGCCAATTTGACGAAAACACTGTCTTTACTAAAAATACAAAAATTAGCTGGACGTGGTAGTGGGCGCCTGTAATCTCAGCCACTTGGGAGGCTGAGGCAGAAGAACGGCTTGAACTCAGAAGGCAAAGGTTGCAGTGATTGGAGATTGTACCATTGCACTCCAGCCTGGGTGACAGAGTGAGACTCAGTCTCAAAAAAGTAAATAAAATAAAAAATTGTTAGGCCAGGCACAGTGGCTCACGTCTGTAACCCCAGCACTTTGGGAGGCCGAGGTGGGTGGATCAACCAAAGTCTGGAGTTCGAGACCAGCCTGGCCAACATGGCAAAACCTGTCTACTAAAATACAAAAATTAACTGGGCATGATAGTGGGCACCTGTAATCCCAGCTACTCAGGAGGCTGAGATAGGAGAATCGCTTGAACCTGGGAGACAGAGGTTGTAGTGAGCCGAGATCGTGCCATTGCCTTCCAGCCAGGGCGACAAGAGTAAAACTCTGTCTCAAAAAAAAAAATTGTTGGCCGGGCGCGGTGGCTCAAGCCTGTAATCCCAGCACTTTGGGAGGCCGAGGCGGGTGGATCACAAGGTCAAGAGATCGAGACCATCCTGGTCAACATGGTGAAACCCTGTCTCTACTAAAAATACAAAAAATCAGCTGGGCATGGTGGCGCGTGCCTATAATCCCAGCTACTCAGGAGGCTGAGGCAGGAGAATTGCCTGAACCCAGGAGGCAGAGGTTGCGGTGAGCCAAGATCTGCACTCCAGCCTGGGTAACAAGAGCGAAACTCCGTCCCACAAAAAAAAAAAAAAAATTGTTTTCAGTTTCTTTTTCTTTTCTTTTTTTGAGAAAGTCTCTCTCTCTGTCACCAGGCTGGAGTATAATGGCTCAATCTCAGCTCACTGCAACCTCTGTCTCCCAGGTTCAAGCAATTCTCCTGCCTCAGCCTCCTGAGTAGCTGGGATTACAGGTGCCCGCCATCATGCCCAGCTAATTTTTGTAGTTTTAGTAGAGACGGGGTTTCACCATGTTGGCCAGGATGGTCTTGATCTCTTGACCTCAGGTGATCCACCCGCCTCGGCCCCCCAAAGTGCTGGGATCACAGGCGTGAGCCACCACGTCCAGCCTGCTTTTAGTTTCTCTTTCTTTTTTTTTTTTTTTAAGCCAGTCAAATTTAGCAGTGGGGGGTTGTATACCAACTTTAGCGACACTAATGTTAATAAGTTCTGATAACCCACTACCATCGGACCAGCCTGCTTTTAGTTTCTATATTGCAAAGTGAGAAAGCAAATGGCATGCCAGAGCCAAATATTTGCAAAATCTAACAAAAGGTTAATATGTGTAATACACAAAGAGCTTGTCTCCCACAAATCAACATGAGGAAAAAGACAAACCAACAGAAAAATGGGCGCATGATCTGCTCAAGCAATGACAGAGAAAATAGAAACAGCCAATATGCTAATAAAAAATGATTTAATCTCCCTAGTAATGAGGGCAATGAAAATAAAAACAATAATGAGATACCATTTCCCTTATCTGATTAGCAAAAGTTTAAAATATTAAGAATATTCAATGCTGTCTAGGTGAGGCGGCTCACACCCATAATCCCAGCACTGTGGGAGGCTGACACGGGAGGATCGATTTAGACCGGGAGTTGAAGACCAGCCTGAGCCACACAGTGAGACCCTGCCTCTACCAAAAAAAATTTTTTTTAATTAGCTGGGTGTGGTGGTGCAAACCCGTAGTCCCAGCTACTTAAGCTGAGTGGGACGATTACTTGAGCCCAGGTCAAGGCTGCAGTCAGCCATGATCATGCCACTGCACTCCAGCCTGAGCAAGAGTGAGACTCTGTGTCAAATAATAATTATTTTTATTTGTACCATTTATTTATTTTTTGAGACAGAGACTTGCTCTGTCACCCAGGCTGGAGTGTAGTGGCACGATCTCGGCTCACTGCAACCTCCACCTCCCAGGTTCAAGCAACCCTCCTGCCTCAGCCTCCCTAGTAGCGGGGACTACAGGTGCAAACCACCACACCCAGCTAATTTTTGTATTTTTATTAGAGATACGGTTTCACCATATTGATCAGGCTGGTCTTGAACTCCTGACCTCAGGTGATCCACCCACCTCGGTCTCCCAAAGTGCTGGGATTATAGGTGTGAGCCACCACGCACAACCTTTAAATAATAATAACAATAATAGTAATAATATCCAATGCTGATGGGTATGTGGGGAGACAAACTCTTCCTTTTTTTTTTTTTTGAGCTGGAGTCTCGCTCTTGTTGCCCAGGCTGGAGTGCAATGGCACAATCTCGGCTCACTGCAACCTCTGCCTCCCAGGTTCAAGCCATTCTCCTGCCTCAGCCTCCCAAGTAGCTGGGATTACAGGCATTACATTATTAGTGGAAGTCTAAACCAGGGCCTCTTTCTTAGAATGCAATTGACATTAGCTCTCAAAAAGGTTCACCGGGACTCTGATGGAGCAATTCCACATCTAAGAATCTCCTCAGAGAGCACAGATTCGGGTGTGCAAGGACTGACTCAAGGAAAGCCATTGCAACAGGTTATATAACAGCAAACACTTGAAGACAACCCAATATCTATCAATAAAGGAGTACTTAAAGAAATTATCATCTATTCAAACCATGAAATTCTATGTGGCTGATTTAAAAGAAGAATGAGGTAGAGCTCTCTGCACTGACACGAATGAACCTCAGAATTACATCTCTGCTTTTGTTAAAAACAACTCAACCAGCGGTGTGGAGTCCGCTCACACCGGCTCCTGAGAGCGACTGTGGGCGTTTCTCCCCAATTCCATGTTGGTGACATCATGTTGGTGGCTTGAATAAGCCATGATGGGAGTATTTACAACATGGAAGCTGGAAAACTCGAGACATTGGGGCTTTTCTCCCCTAGAGACAGATGTTAAACATCTGCCAGAACACCCCTGAACCCACCCAACTCCAAACCCTGCGTATGTGTGTGCGCATCTCTGCCATGCATAAGGGGGCCGGGAGAGAAACACAGCAGGCTGTGAATAAGCAGCTCAGCAAGCGGCCAAGAGCTAAGCTCTGGGGCTCAACACCTGAGGTAGAATCCTGGCTCTGCCACCTGCAACCTGTGTGGCCTTGGGCAAGGCATTTAACCTCTCTGAGCTTCAGCTGTCCCATCTGTAGAGGGAAGTTGCTGTAGGGAGTTGTGCTTGGCACACAGTAAGTCCTCAGAAAGTGTTAGCTACAACCTCCCTTGAAAGGGAGTGGGGGATTCACAGGGTCCTGTGCTGTTTTCTTTATTCATATCTGTACGATCTACGTTTTTTTACAAGCTTTTCGTGCTTAAAAAAAAAAAATGTATGGTGGCTCATGCCTGTAATCCCAGCATTTTGGGAGGCTGGAACAGGCAGGAGGATTGCTTGAGCCCAGGAGTTCAAGACCAGTCTGGGCAACATAGTGAGAGACCCCCAATTTCTTTAAAATATATATATATATATATAAATATATGTATAAACACATATATTTTTTAATTAGCTGGGTGTGGTGGTGTGCACCTGTTGTCCCAGCTACTCAGGAGGCTAAGGTGGGAAGATTGCTTGGGCCCAGGAGCTTGAGGCTGCAATGAGCCGTGACTGCACCACTTCACTCCAGCCTGGGCAACAGAGCAAGACTGTCTCAAAAAAAGAAAAAAAGTAAAATCAACAAACCAAATAAAAAGTTGTGGTCAGGGTGCAGCACAGAGTGGCATCCCCTCCCCGCCCCCACTTGCACCTCCTACTCACCATCGGTGAAGAGAGGCTCGGGCAGCTTTCGGAAGAAGGACTTCAGCAGGCTGCTGATCACATTGAGGTCTTGCCAGCGCTGCGGGGGAGAGCAGATGTCAGGCCACAGGCAGGCCCAGCCTGATGTCCGTGCCTCTGTGATCACCCCAGAGCCCAATCAAGCCCACCAGGCCTTCTCGGGACCCACTTAGACCAAGCTCTCTGTTCATCAGGGTGGTGGCAGCAGAACTGAGTCCCCAGCGAGGTCCTGTGCCCATGCTCACACTTGGCCCCAGATCCTCCCTCCCCCAAGCTCCAACACCTGCCCATCCACAGAAAGTCCCAGGAGCCTTCTTTAGGCCAGGCACTTTGGGACACACTGAGTGAAAGCTGCCTCCTCCACTGGGTGCAGGCGAAGCATCCGTGACCCAGCAGTCACTGGTGCCAGCGCGTTCCTATCTCAGGCCCTCTGCACATGCTGGTTCCCTCAACTAGAACGTTCCTCCCCCCCTCCACAAGACTGGTTCCTCATCCCGCCTAAAAGTTGCTCTTCAGAGAGGCCTTCTGTGACCCGATAGCTAAAGCTGCCATCTTGACCACTGCCCGCCACCTGTACCCTAGCCCTGACTTTGTTTCCTTCGTGGTGCTTAATCCTGTTTGTCATTATTTCCTGCTATTGTGTCTGTGTTCATGCCTGTCTCCCTGCAGGACTGTAAGCTCCAGGAGGAGCCGGGATCCCGTCTGTCTCACTTCCCTATCACCTAGCTAGGACAGTTAACCTGGTACTTCCGTGGCCTAAATCAGTAGTTCTGACAGAAGGAGACAATTTTGTCCCCCAGAGCCCCACTCCAACCCCAGAGGACATTTAACAATGCCTGGAGCCATTTTGGTTTTCACAACTGGGAGGCGCCACTTGCATCTAGTGGATAGAGGCCATGGATGGTGCCACATTTCCTCCAACATACAGGACAACCCCACACAGTGAATAACTGCTCTTCCCAAAATGCCCATTGAGGTTGAGAAACCCTGATCTAAAATAAATGGTTCAGTATAAGAACGAACGGCTGGGTCGTTGTCCATTCTGTCCACCAGGTGGCACCATCACCACACACTGCCACCAAGGCAGGCACAGCCACCTTGCTGGGAATGGCTCCGAATAACTCAGACCCAGAAAGCAACCTAATACTCCCAACAAAGAGACACAATGCAGGCGCACACATACTCATTACAATGGATCCACAGCTTAACGTCAGACAATCCCACAAACAATACCCTCCCCCTAGGCTCACAGGGGATTAGATTCGGCCCCCACCACACTGACTCCCAGCACGCCCCACAGCAAATGACGCAATGATGTCTAAGACAAAATGACACACCCAATACACCTGCCAGGCCCCCATCCGGCCCTGGCTTAGACCAGCTGCCTGCCAACACGGCCCCTTCATCCCTGGCTGACGCCAAGCTGACCACACACACCCACGCACACCCAGTATAGCTCCTGCCCACCCGACCCCGTTACCTCCTGGCCCTCAGGTGTGGGCTCGTCTCATCTCCCAGCTGCCAAGCCCAAGGCCCCGGCCAGGGCTTCCTGGCTCCTCTGGAGTGAAGTGCCTGCCCTCACCCAGCCTCGCCAGTGGCCTTCTCCTTCTGCCCCACTCTGAGCATAGCCCCTGCTGTTCTGCTGCCCGCCTTCAGTCATCCCATGCCCAAGTCACAGCAGGACCCATGTCACTCTCTAGTCCGTGCTCAATCTATGCCTGTTTATGGCCTCACCCCATGCAGCGGACTTTCCACACCCCAAATCCAATGGAGCCACTCCCTGAGACGGCCCCTTCGGTCCACCTCTCATGCTACTCCCTGGTTTCTGCCAGGGGAGATACCACCAGCCCCAGCTCAAATGGACGGCTCTTCCTCACCCATCCTTCCCCCTCTCAGGCAGCCAACTCTTAGGGTTGCTCCCCTCCTCCCCATTCCTCTGGGACCACCAAGTCCTCCGACCCTTAGTGTTTCCATAGATCAGCGCCTTCTCTCAGACCCCTGCCCTCCCCATTCCTACCCATTGGGCATGAGCAGGAGCATCACTCTTTCTTGAACTGCGCTCTCACGATGCCTCCCCAGCTTAAGAACCATCAAAAGCTCCCTACTGGCCATCAGATCAAGGTTGAAGGCTTCAAACGCCCTCTCTGTCCCCCGGGGCCTCACCCTCCCTACCTCCAAGCCCAGGAGGCGGATGCACTCTCTGCACTAACCCTCAAACTCCCTCCCTGGGGTTATGGAAAATGCCATCATCTCACACTCCACGGCCTTCTGGTCCACCTGCCCCCTCCTATTCATTCCTCAGATACTCAAACCTGGGAGCCGCCACCTGCTCCAGTCTGAGCACCCTTTCCTTCCTCATCACAGCGTGGTCCCTGATAAGAGAGCTTTTTCTCTTGTCCATGATTTCTCACACACTTGTCTCATCTTCCCATTCCCCAAGGACAGGAAGACTCGTGTCTTTCATGACGCTTCACATGTGTGACTCATGGGACATCACTGCCCACATTCATGGTTTCCAAAATATCTTTTTTAATCAGAGCCCCTTTGGGCAAATAAAATTGTACAGGAAAACCCAGTACAACAGACAGGGCAAAGCAGGGTTGCCCTAGTAAGGACAGGGGGTCCTGACCTGCCCCTAGCCTCCCGAGGCCGCTCTGGGGAACCCTAGGACTCTGGAGAACAGCATTTGAGAATCACAGGCCCTGCTGGAAACACTTAAGTGTGGTTGCAGATCCCTTCACAAACTGGTCTCATCTCACCTGAGCAGCCACTCTCTCCATGTTGCAGCCACCCAAATTGCCGGCCATTCTAGAAAACACTCAACATTCCCCTTTCTCTAGGCCGGTGGTCTGCAAACCACGCACAGTCTGTAGGCAAAATCCAGCCAGAGCCTCCCTTTGGATGGCCCTTGAGCTAAGTATGGTTTTTACATTGTTAAAGGATTAGGAAGAGACCGGGCGTGGTGGCTCACACCTGTAATCCCAGCACTTTGGGAGGCCGAGGCGGGCAGATCACGAGGTCAAGAGATCAAGACCATCCTGGCAAAAAGGGTGAAACCCTATCTCTACTAAAAATACAAAACTTAGTTGGGCATGGTGGTGTGCACCTGTAATCCCAGCTACTCGGAGGCTGAGACAAGAACATCGCTTGAACCCGGGAGGCAGAGGTTGCAGTGAGCCAAGATCGCATCACTGCACTCCAGTTGGGCAATAGAGCGAGACTCTGTCTCAAAAAAAAAAAAAAAAAAAAAAAAGGATTAGGAAGAGGAGGAAGTGAAGGAGGGAATGCAACAGAGCGAACCACAGCAGAAAACATTCACTCCATTACACAGGCCATTCTGTTGCCAGGAACAGCCTTACCCGGCTTTCGCCGGCTTGTAGTGAACTCTGCTCATCCTAAACACTTGGACAAAACCTCCATCTGTCCTCTGGGCCTCTGCCTCAGAGCTCCCCGGCCATGACTGCATTTACTTGTTCCGCTTCAGCCTGGGGTGATGCCCATCCCCAGGCTGGCCCAAGGGCAGGTCCCATCTTGCCCATCGTGGTGTTCTGGACCAATGCCAGGCACGTCACAGGGCACCATGCATGCAACACAACAGGCCGCAGAACTCTCCAAGCAGAGCACCACCCCCACGCCACCTCGGCCCCCTCCTACAGACCCCCCAGCTTCACCCACCTCGTCCTGCAGGTTGATGTCCCCAGGCCCTCGGTTGAGCTGCTCCTGCAGGCTGGACACCACTGCATTGTTGCCAGGCACTCGGTAAATGCCCGTGGACTCCAGCCCTCGAGCCTCCACAATGCGACAGCACGCAGCCACGATTAAGGGGACACGCTGGGGACACAGAGCAGGGGTGTTAGGGGGCCAGGGGCCAGAGGAGCAGGGGAGGCCAAGATGGGGACAGTGCAAGGCCCAGAGCTGCTGCCAGGAGCCCTTCAGGGAACACAAGGCCCTTGCCGCCTCCAGTCTGGGAGCTAGATATGATGCCAAAGCCTCGCCATGGTCTGAGAAGGAACCGGGCTCGGCCTTGGCCCTGCTGCTCCCTCCCTGGAAGGCCCGGGGCAGGCGGGGACTTTCTCCTTTCTGGGCTGTTTTCCCAGCTGTGTTTGTACAATGAGATGGAGAGCTGGTTCCATGTCCCTTGCTGCTCTGACCCTCTGTGCCTCGGTGTCCTCCCTGCTGTGCCTGTTCTGGCATGTGGCAGAGACCCACCTGGTTCTCCGTGGCTGGCTGACACTCCTCCAGCCTGACCCCAAACGCCCTTGGGGCGGCCTTCTTATTTTTCTTGATGATATTGATGCCCCAGGGGGTTTTGGGAGCTGCAGCATTGTCATCTGACATGGGGGAGACAGACAGCCAGGGTGAGCTGGGGTGCCCAGGAGGCTCACACACACTCACTGCCACATTCACACATTTGGACGTATGGGGACTCCATCAGAGAAGCACCCAGATGCCTAGGGCTGATGAGACACTGTATGGCAAGAGAGAAGGTCTAATGGGGACGATGCTTACCCCAGAGGAGAGGCTCAGACCAATGCAAGGACTTTCATGTGGCCTCATGGGCCAAAACTACAAGGTGGGAGCCATAGAATGTTCTGTTTCTTTAGAGATAGGGTCTCTGTCCCTCAGGCTGTAGTGCAGTGATATGATCATAGCTCACTGCAGCTCAAATTCCTGGGCTCAAGCAATCTTCCCTCCTCAGCCTCCTGGGTGGCTGGGACTATAGGCTCACAGGACCATACCTGGCTAATTAAAAAAAATTTGGCCAGGCTCAGTGGCTCACGCCTGTAATCCCAGCACTTTGGGAGGCCGAGGTGGGTGGGTCACGAGGTCAAGAGATTGAGACCATCCTGGCTAACATGGTGAAACCCTGTCTCTACTAAAAATACAAAAATTAGCTGGGCGTGGTGGCACACGCCTGTAGTCCCAGCTACTCGGGAGGCTGAGGCAGGAGAATTGCTTGAACCTGGGAAGTAGAGGTTACAGTGAGCCGAGATCACACCACTGTACTCCAGCCTGGCAACAGAGTGAGACTCCATCTCAAAAAAAGAAAAAATTTGCCAGGCACAGTGACTAATGCTTGTAATCCCAGCACTTTGCAAAGCTGAAGCAGGAAGATCACGTGAGACCAGGCGTTCGAGACCAGCCTGGCCAACATGGTGAAACCCTGTCTCTACTAAAACTACAAAAATTAGCCAGGTATGGTAGCACATGCCTGTAATCCCAGCTACTGGGGGTGCTAAAGCACAAGAATCGCTTGAACCCGAGAGGTGGAGGTTGCAATGAGCCAAGATCACACCACTGCACTCCAGCCTAGATGATAGAGTGAGACTCTGTCTCTAAATAAATAAATAAATGAAATGTGAAAAAATATTCTGTAGGGTTAGGGTCTTGCTATGTTACCCAGGGTGGTCTCAAACTCCTGGCCTAAGCAATCCTCCAGCCTCAGCCTCCCAAAATGCTGGGATTATAGGTAACAGCAACCATGCCTGCTGACCCAAGGGAAGAGCTAACTTTTTCTTTTTTTTTTTAAGCCAGGGCCTCGCTCTGTCACCCAGACTGGAGTACAGTGGCATGATCTTGACTCACTGCAACCTCCACCTCCCAGGCTCAAGTGATTCTCATGCCTCGGTCTCCCCAGTAGATGGGATTACAGGTGCATGCCACCACATCCAGCTACATTTTTTGTATTTTTAGTAGAGTCAGGGTTTCACCATGTTTGCCAGGGTAGTCTTGAACTCCTGACCTCAAGTGATCTGCCCATCTCGGCCTCCCAAAGTGCTAGGATTACAGGTGTGAGCCACCTTGCGTGGCCAGGGAAGAACTTTCTAATGGTCAAAGGTGAGTGCAGATGGGAAAGGTTGCTCTTGGAAAGGGTGGGCCTCGCTCCTGCAGAGACACCAGCAGAGATTAGAGGACCACCGGCAGGGATGTCAGGGAGGGGAATCAGGCTCCAGGCCCTTCCTCCCCGAGATCCTGAGAGCCCCCAGACCCTCACAGGCACGCACACGTGGACAGACATACTGGGTAACCCTGGCACACACAAGCAGACACAACCCAACGCATACACATGCCCTCCCCTCCCCATGTCCCCTGGCCCACACACCACCCTGTCTCAGTGGCCACCTTCCTACCCTTGCTGCCTGCAGGCAGGTCCTGAGTCCTGAAGCCACGTGCTGCACTCTGCTTGAGGAACTCAGACTTGAGGCCCCCCAGGCCTCGAGAGCCTTTGGGGGAGGAATCAGCTTTGGGCCCAGAGCTATGGCTGTGTAGGAAAAGCGGGAGAGGAGAGGTCTTCATTTGGGGTGGCCCAGCAGGCCACCCAACCTGGCCTCCTGCTGCTCAGGACCTCCCCTCCATCCTGTGGCAACACCTCCATGCCTGACTGCAGCCGGAGACCCTGGATGCCCCTTCCCCCAGCAGAGGGTGGCCCTGGAGGTGGGTCAGGAGAACATCCTTTGCCTAGAGCCCCACCGCCACCCCCACAGAGGGGACAGTTCCACGAAGGCTGGGCCTCACCTCACTTTGCGATAATCATTAAGCTTCTTGCTGATCAGAGCTTGGTTGGCACAGCCGGGGTCCTAGAGCAGGAGAGGAGAGAGTGGACCACGTCAGTGCCCACATCCAGCCCACCCCAGGACTTATCCCGGGCCCTGACTCCCCTCTTGTCCACCTGCCAGGTGGACAGCCCAGACCCTGGAGTGAGAAAGACCAGGCCCAGACTTCCCCGCACCCTCTCACCAGCTGTGGGACCTTGGGGAAGCCTCTTAGCCTCTCTGAGCCTCAGTCTCCTCGGTAATAAACATGGGGGGCTAACAAGGCAGGCTCGGGGCTGGGTGCAGAATCACACAGGCAGCATTTGCCACCGTCCTGGCAGATGCTGAGCAGGTGCGGAGGAGGGGCCCCAGGAGAGGCTGCTACTGCGTTAGTGACAGTGGCTTGGGGCCCCCCTGATCATGCCTTGTTGGGGGCAGATAAGCCAGACCCCCAGAGGAGGGCCCAGATTCCAGGTGCCTTCCTCCCTGCAGTGGGCAAAGCTGTCCCAGGGAGGGCAGAGCCTGGTCAGCGAGAGGCCGTGCACCAGCGCCCCCTCCCATGCCTAGAGCAGGCCCGGGCCCCCTGCCCTCTTGGCAGAGACCCCAGGCCCGGGACCCCCCACATGGCTTTGTGTGGGTGTCTCAAGGCACTTCTGTGCAGGTTCCTGGCCAAGGGAGTGAATGGGGAGGAATCCCCACCCAGGCCCCTGGAGTGCAGGTACAGCACTGTAAGAGGTGCCATTAAAAATAATAGTAATAATAATTCTAGCCAGGCATGGTGGTGGGTGCCTGTAATCTCAGCTACTCAGGAGGCTAAGGCCGGAGAATTGCTTGAACCCAGGAGACAGAGGTTGTGGTGAACCAAGATCATGCCATTGTACTCCAGCCTGGGCAACAAGAGCAAAACTCCATTTCAAAAAATAAAAAAAATTCTCGTTGAGCTTGGTGGCTCACACCTGTAATCCCAGCACTTTGGGAAGCTGAGGTGGGCAGATCACCTGAGGTCGGGAGTTCGAGGCCAGCATGACCAACATGGAGAAACGCTGTCTCTACTAAAAATACAAAATTAGCCGGGCGTGGTGGCGCATGCCTATAATCCCAGCTGCTTGGAAGTCTAAGGCAGGAGAACTGCTTGAACCTGGGAGGCGAAGGTTTCAGTGCACCAAGATTGTGCCATTGTGCTCCAGCTTGGGCAACAAGAGTGAAACTCCGTCTCAAAAAAATAAAAATTCTCCCAAAATCCCTGCCAAAGCCCTTGGCTCCACCCCTGCCAACCTGTGGCCAAAGCCAAGCCTCTCGGCCTCCTCACAAGGTCAGTGTGCTCATCCCCCTGCAGACAGGCCAGCCCCGTGAAGCTCTGGAACCGGGGCACTCGTGGCCTAACACCCTCCATAGGAGGCCCCTGCCTTCCTCGTCTCCTGTGAAAAGCTGGGACTGGCCTGGAGCTGACCCCTCCATGCCAGAGTCTGCCCAAAGTGACCCTGACACAGTCATAATAATCCTTGTCATCACGAAGGTGAAGATGGTGACTGCCAGTCCCTGGACCTGAGGACCCCAGGTCCTCTGTGAGCCCTGCCCACGCACCCTCCTTAAGCCAAAACCTCGGGGGACACAATCCAGAGGTGTCCTCCTGTCAGCCCCCCTTTCTAGCAGAGGGAAGTGAGGCTCAGAGCAGTCATCCCAGGTCCACAGCCGGTGAGAGGCCACCCTGCCCACCCTCTGTGGCTGCCGGGCGGGTCGGGCCCTCACCTCGCCCTCGGCCCTGCTGTTCTCCCGGATCGCTCTGATCCAGCCCAGCATGTCATCCCGGTCCTCAGCCTGAAAGAGATATTCACAGAAGTCAGCGGTGGTCAGCCGGAACACGTGCCTCCTCTTGGTCTCGCTGTAGGAGATGTCCACGAGGCAGGAGCCGATGCAGACTGGCGCCGCCTCGTCCTCACCTGCGCCGGCCGCCGCAGCCCCCGCCGCCGCCGGCCCGGGCTCCCGCCGCTCCTTGCTCAGCGAGAGCGAGCGCGCCCGCAGCGCGGCGTACACCCGCTTCCACTGGCGCAGGCCGCTGCCCGCTTTCTGCAGGGAGACACGGGGTTGGGGGAGACGGGAGTGGTGAGAGGCCAGTCCTGCCCACCACCCTCAGAGTAGCAGACAGAGGACAGCCGGGGGACGGGCCCCACACTGCCTACCAGGAGCCCCCTGCTCCACTCGGCTGGACCTGGGCAGTCTCCTGCCTACAGCCCACCAATGCTCTCTCAGCCCCTCACCTGCTGGACACCCCTACCCATCACCCTCAAGCACCCCAGCACGCCCCAGCCCTCTACCCTCTAAACACCAGCATCAACACTCACCGGGTGGTGGCAATGCCCAGACACCCAGCATGGCCCTCTGTACATGAAATCCTCGGGAAGCCACTCCCAGCCCACGACCCTCCCCATGCTGCCCCCACCCCAGCAAAACTGCTCAAAACCCAAGACTCCACTTGCCCAGAAGTGGCTCTCAGGGACACCCAGAACGACCAAGTGGCCGAAGCCAGTGGCTGCTTCTCCCCCTTGGCTTTTTTTTTTTTTTTTTTAAGATGTAGTCTAGATCTGTCGCCCAGACTGAAGTGCAACGGCACGATCTCAGCTCACTGCAATCTCAGTTCACTGCAACCTCCGCCTCCTAGGTTCAAGCGATTCTCCTGCCTCAGCCTCCTGAGTAGCTGAGATTACAGGCGCGTGCCACCACATCCAGCTAATTTTTGTATTTTTAGTAGAGACGGGGTTTCACCATGTTGGCCAGGCTGGTCTCAAAATCCTGACCTGGTGATCCTCCTGCCTCAGCTTCCCAAACTGCTGGCATGACAGGCATGAGCCACCGCGCCCAGCCCCTTCTCCCTCTTGCGTTAACCCCTCAGCAGCATCTGACACAGCTGGCCCCTCCTTCCCTCTCCGGACCCTGTCTCTGCAGCTGAGACCCCGTGTTCCCAGCTTTCTTCCTAATCCCACTGGCTCCTTCCTAGTCTTCTCTCCTTCCCCTCCCCCACCCTCTACACCTGTAAACAGGAGGCTCATCCCCAGGGGACATTTGTGTGGAGGGAGCTGGAGGGTGTGCTGTGGCATCTGGGGGATGCTGACCAACATTGCCAATGCACAGGACAGCCTCCCCCAACAAGGAATTATCTGGCCCAAAATGTCAGCAGAGCTGAGGTTAAGATACCCTGCCCTAAAGGAGGTGGAACTCCAGAACTTTGTCCTGACTCCTCCCTTCTCCCTGCACACCTCCCTCAGGGATGTCATCTGTGCCGTGCCTTTAAACCAGGTCCATCTGCTGACGGCCATTCTCTGGCCCAGAGTCTTCCCCAGTCCCAGCCCGGGACCCCACCCTGCTCAGTGTCTTCATGTGCAGGTCCCATGGGCACTTTGCACAATACTTGCCAGGCCATGTGATTTCTTAACATCGAACCCGTTCTCCACCCTCTACCCTCATCTTTTCCAGCTCAGTTCACCCACCCAGTTGCCCAGAAACCTGGGAGCTGGCCTTGACTCCTCCCTTTTCCTCACCCTTGACATCCCATCCATCAGGAAGTCTCAACTGCTCTGCCTCCGAAACGTCCCACCTGTGTCTTTCCTGCCACCACCAGGTCCTCGCCATCAATGCCTCTTGCCTGGAGGACGCCCAGACCTTCCCAGTCTCCACTTTCACTCCTGCAAACATCCCCAGCCAGCAGCTGCAGCAAGCGTGTTAGAACGAAAAGATCACATCTCTCCCCTGCTCAGGATCCCCTCCTGAGATCCCATCGCCCTCAGAGTCAAATCTAAGGTCTCCTGTGGTCTGCCCCTGCCTCTCTCCAAACTCATCTCCACGCCTTTCTCACTGTGTCAAGCCAGGGGGCCCTTGCAGGTGAGCGAGCCACGCCTTTCCGTTCTCAGGGCCTCTCCGCTTGCTGTTCCTTCTGCCGAAGCCCCTCCCTCACTTCTGTAAGTGGCTGCTTCCTTCTTCCCCTTCAGATCTGAGCTCCAGCATCACCACCGTCACCTCCGCGGCGAGGCCTTGTCTGACCATATTTTTCCCTCAATACAGCTCCTGCTTCCGATCAGCCTGGTCCCTTCCAAGAGCTTACGGCAGCCTCAAGCTGTCCTGACAGGGAGCTTGTCCAGCCGCTCATTTCCATATCCCGGGACCTAGGGCTGCATGCAGGGATTCATCAATATTTGCTGAATAGATGAATTAATGATCCTTGGAGCACCCTGAGGGCAGGAGCTCCATCTCCCATCAGACCAAGGGCTCCTCTCCGCTGGCTGGTGGCCCGCCCACCGCCCCACACCCAGCACAGGCCTCAGCCCTCTGAACAAACCAGACAAGGAGACCCGGGGGCTGGCAGGTGGGCACAGCCCACATGTGGCCTCACGCCATGTGGCTCCTGTGCTGTGAACCCTGCTCATCACAGAACTTCTGGACGGGGACAGGGACATTGAGAGTAGGAAACAGCAGGGCCCTCCAGGGGAATTTTAATGTTATGGTGAGGTGGTGACAAGGGCAATTCTCTGAGACTAAACCAGCGGGATGACCCGGGACGAGTCACCCACACTCCCAGTCCTCAGTGTCTCTGGCTGGTAAATGGGTGAGGGAGTTGGTCACCAAGGCCGCATGCAGCTCCCACGCAGGGGCTGAGGCTTCAGGAACAAGTCGCTGTCCCTCTCCCTCCTCTGCCTGACAGCCCGTGTCTCCGACAGGCTGGAGCTGGGAGGGGCACGGAGAGGGTGTCCACAGCATGGGTGGACCAACGGCCTCAGGCTGACTTGAAGACCCTTCTCTAATGCCCAGGCCACGGCACCCAGGGAATGAGCGGCATCGGGTTTTGGGCAGCAAGGGAGTGGAGGCCCTGTCCTCCAGAACTGGCCAGTGAGCAGGAAGGGCCAGCTCCTACCCCTGAACTGGGCTCAGGGCCCCCAGGTAGCTGAGGGTCAGGCTACCTGGCAGGGGGAGCCAGCTACTCTCACGAGGACCCTTACGCAGCTCACACGTTAGGCTAGAAGTGCTGGTCCACATGCGGCCCTCCTCACACGATGCACGTGGCCAGCCCCTCCCTGCCTCACGGCTCCCACCCCACGTGTCGCTGTCAACTTGCTGGCTCTTTTCAGTCTCTATTAACCTTCCCTGCCCCCCACACTTCTCTCAAGGCTCAGCTGGGTCTCTAGCCTTCTTCCTTCAAGCTCCACACAGAAGCACACATGACTTGGTGCTGATAGACAAAGGCAGTCCCCAGGGAGTCCTCCCTCTAGTGCCACGCCCTCAGAGCCTCTGTCCCCAGAACACCTCCACTGGGGTCTGTCCAGAGCCCTCAGACTTCACATAGCCCAGTGGAACCCCTTGGCTTCCTCTCCCCAAACCTGATCCTCCAGCATGCCATAGCCCAGGGGCCCCACCACCCACAACCCTCCCTCAGCCCCAGCCAGGAATCCAGGAACCTCACCACCGCCTCCTCCTCCTTCTTCTGTACCTCCCAGCTGCTGGCAAGTCCCTCCCCACCTTCCCCTGGAAACTCTCTCTAAAGGGTCCACTCCACCTGGCCCCATACCATCCCCTTGGTCTGGGCGCCCAGCCTCACTCACCTGGACAACGGCAATGACACTGCCTCCTCCTGTCACAGACACAACCCCAGTCTCCTAGCATCCCCAGCGCGCATTTAAAACCCTGGACAGGGCCGGGCACAGTGGCTTATGCCTGTAATCCCAGCACTTTGGGAGGCAGAGGCAGGCAGATCACTTGAGGTCAGGAGTCTGAGACCAGCCTGGCCAACATGGTGAAACCTGGTCTCTACTAAAACTACAAAAATCAGCCAGGCATGGTGGCACGCGCCTGTAATCCCAGCTACTCAGGAGGCTGAGGCAGAGAATTGCTTGCCAGGAGGCAGAGGTTGTAGTGAGCCGAGGTCATGCCACTGCACTCCAGCCTGGGCAACAGAGCGAGACTGTCTCAAGAAAAGAAAACAAATGGCAGTAAGCAGAAGAAAGCAGCTCCAAGTGCCGGGCACCGGGTAACACCTTTGCTCAGATCACTGTATTTAATCCTTAGCAATAGGCTTATGAGCGAGGGATTACTGTTAGCTCCATTTACAGACGAGGACACTGAGTCACAGCCAGGTGAGTCAGCCAGGCTCTCACGACAGGTGAGGCAGTCAGAGTGAAACCCAGGTTCATCCTAACCACCAGGAGGGAAGGCAGTGGTCTCTCCTCCTGCTTCTCCAGCCCACAGCGCAGCCTGGGCCAGGGTTTGCACTCCATGGATCCGAGGGCCCGCCCTTCTCCTCTCAGGGTCCTGCTGGTTCCCTCCCAGGCCCTCCCCACCTACTCCCCGAAGCTTCCAAGTCCAAGCCCCCTTCGCCTCTCACCTGATCTCCATGGTGGCTCCTAACGGGTCTTCTTGCCTCCAGTGTGGCCCTTCCCTAACTCACTCCCAGGGAGCCAAATAGATATTTGCAAGCTGTAACTCCCTAGGGAAGAGCCCCCGCGCCCGAGAACTTTTGGTGCCCTTAGTATGAACACTGCGTTCTTTGCTGGCCTGCCTGCCTTTCTCTTGGGCCTCAGCTCTCCTCCGGAAATCACCCTTGCCTTGCTCCTTATTTTCCAGGAGCCCCGGCAGCCATCCTCAGGGTGGCCTGTCAAGCCACGGTCGTTGTGGGATGGTTTCGCCAGAACTCCAAGCACAACTTGATCAGATCTGTCCCACAGCAAAATCCACCTTTCTTGTTAACTTCCTTTACATAAGTTCTTTAAATCCTCCTGCCAGGAAGTTCTTCCTAGCATCTAACCTCCATCCTTCATGCTGCAACCTACACTGCAAACTGTCTCTGGCTGCAGAGGCTGTCAGTATGGGTCTAGGAGAAGCTGGAGGGTTCTGCTGGAGCCAGCTTCCACCTCATTCCTCCACCCATCTTACCTTCCCCTTCTTGGTGAGGATCTGCTTATAATACAACCAGCCTTCTCTCCTGATATCGCTGAAGGTCGCATCTGAGAGGTCAGAGGTTGAGTGTCGCTTAGAAGGAGCGTCGGCATCTTCAGAGGTGCCCCAGCTATCCAAGGACTGCAGGGAGACAACAGAGGGCAGTTTAGGGTGGCTCCCACAATACCAGCATCTCAGGAACCCCACGTACCACTCGAGGCCACACGGGCCTGGCGTATATCTGTGCTACGCCCTGATGCGCTGTGTGACCTCATGGGCATTGCTTGTCCTCTCTGGACCACTTATGTTGAGGTCATGAGACATCCATAAAGGAGAAGCCAGAAGGAGGAAAGGCTATGGCCGGCCCTGAGATCACAGGCCTCACCACGTGAGAGGAGCCGGTCTGGAGCCTCCTGAAACTTTACAGACTTAGAATTAAGGAAACGGAGGAAGTGACCGTGTCAGCAAGGAGTTAAATAAACAGGGGAAGTGGGAACACCAACAATGCTGAGTGAGTGAAGCAGGTAGTCATGTCCACAAGGAGTTAAACAGAGGAAGTGACCGTGTCAGGAGGACTCCAGCCACAGAGGGCACAAGTCAAGGGAGAGTTAAGTAAGCAGAGGAAGTGACAAGGAAGGAATGAGCCAGGTGCCAGCATCACTGAGGTGTTCAACCAACCCAGGAGACAGAGGGCTTGACATCAAGATGGCTTTTCCAGTCCATCTATAATCAAAAACATCCAAGCGGGGTGCAGTGGCTCACGCCTGTAATCCCAGCACTTTGGGAGGCTGAGACAGGCGGATCATTTGAGGTCAGGAGTTCGAGACCAGCCTGGCCAACATGGTGAAACCCCATCTCTACTAAAAACACAAAAATTAGCAAGGTGTGGTGGCATACGCCTGTAATCCCAGCTACTCAGGAGGCTGAGGCACAAGAATCACTTGAACCCAGGAGGTGAAGGTTTTGGTGAACTGAGATCACGCCATCGCACTTCAGCCTAGGCAATAGAGTGAGTCTCCATCTCAAAACACACACACACACACACACAAATACATATGACTTAAAAAACAATATGTCCAGGTGTGATGGCTTATGCCTGTAATCCGAGCACTTTGGGAGGCCAAAGGAAGAAGACCACTTGAAGTCGGGCATGGTGGCTCACACCTGTAATCCCAGTACTTTGGAGGCCAAGGTGGGTGGATCACCTGAGGTCAGAAGTTCAAGACCAGCCTGGCCAACATGGTGAAACCCCATCTCTACTAAAAATACAAAAATTAGCCAGCATGGTGGCACATGCCTGTAATCCCAGCTACTCAGGAGGCTGAGGCAGGAGAATCACTTGAATCTGGGAGGCAGAGGTTGCAGTGAGCCAAGATGATGCCACTGCACTCCAGCCTGGGCAACAGAGTGAGACCCCATCTCAAAATAAACAAACAAACAAACAACAACAACAAAAACCAGCCGGAGCTGTCACAGGCCTGATCCAGTCTCCCCAGGACCTGAAGCTGGGAACTCCACCTGTCCACCAATCTCAACCTGTGTCCAGGCCACCTTTCCAGTTCTACCCCCAGCCCCGTCATCCCCTGAAGACAAGACACGATGCACTTATTGACTGAGGGTAGTGAAGGAAACTAATGAAGCCCCAAATATAAGCTTGGGGAGCTTCTAGTCTAGCTGGGGAGCCAGGCAGGGAAACACCAATTGTTCATGAGGTGTGCTGAGGAGGAAAACATAGAGTAGCGAAGGGAGGTGTGAAATGTCAGAAGCGGAGGCTGGAATTTCAGGGAAGACCTAAAAAACCGTGAAGAAAGTGAAGTGAGTCATGTGGCCATGGGGGGTGGGTCTGGAAAGAGCCAGTCCAGGCGGGAGATGCTAAGCCCAAAGGCCCTGGGTAGGGCTGCGAGGTGTCATGCAGGGATGCCGGGACCCTGCGGTGGACACAAGGGTGAGGGGCGCAGGGAGGAGGGGGAAGGCAGCAGCTGGAGCAGAAACCCCCACGCTGACGCTATGGCCCATCTGCCCAGCACCCTCACTCCTGATGACACCCTCTCTTCTGATACCTTCTCTCCCCCACGCACACTCACACTTGCTGCTCACCCTGTCCACCTCCCCGACACCCTCGCTCCCACACAGCACACACATACACACACACTTGCTGCTCACCCCGTCGGTGAAGAAGCTCCGGAGCATCCGCAGGCTGGGGACACGGTTTGGCAGGCGCCTGGAAAGCGAGGGCCGAGGGTGAGGGATGTGGGCGGCACAGCTGGGACCTCACTATCTCATCACCCACCAAACCCCAAGGCCTACAGGCCTTCCAGCAGGGGTGGCAGAGAGGACGCCAGGGCCAAAAGCCCCGCCCCAGAGCAGCCAGCCAGCCAGCACACCTGTGGCCACCCCCCCACCCCCACATCCAGACAGGGCCTTACCTCAGAACCCGACCCTCCTCCCGGAAGGTGTTGAGCCCATCATCGCAAGACTTGGAGCGCTCCGTGGTGATGGCCAGCAGGTATGAGGAGCGGCGGCCGGCCTTGATGCTGCCTGCAAAGCCGCCCACATCGGGCCTCAGGGTCAGCGGGGCAGCAGGTCAGGGGCTTCCCAGAGCCCTCCTTTCTGGGCAGGGGCAGGAGGTGACTCTCCCAAAGGGCCCCAGGAGGAGCAGAAACCAGAGGAAGAGGCCAGACATCAGGCAGCAAGCCCAACAGAGACCCTGGGATGGGGCACCAGGGGAGAGGGTGAGGCTGGGGCGTGGGGAGCGCTCACTGCAGTCCTGCGAGTAATGGCGTCCCAGAGTGAAGGTGAAGGTTGGGGATGATGGGCTGGTGCCCAGGACGGGGGCCGAGTTCATGGCACTAGAGACCACAGCAGAGGCAGGGACGTGCTTGGCTTGGAGGTCAATGCTGGGGCTGGTGGGCTCATCTGTGCACATGGAAGGAGAGAGGTGTGAAGCAGGCAGAGAGCGGAGCCCGCCTGCCCCCACCCCAGCCTTACCATCCCCCATGCCTCTCGCCTCCAGGCTCAGACACATCCCAAAGGGTCCTGCTAGCAACAAGCCCACTGTCAAGCATGACTGGCCCCTGTCCAGACTGTGGCCACGGAATGCCTCCCCTTGGGAGTGAGGCTGAACCACCCTCCTTAGACCGGGCTCCTGAGGGCAGAGCCAATATTCCCCCATCAGACTGGGAGCCTCCTGAGGGCAGAGATGGTGTCTCCCCCATCAGATTGAGAGCTTTCTAAGGATAGGGGCTCCCCCATCAGCTGGGACTCCTCCACGGCAGAGACTATATCACCCCTCAGACAGTGCATTCTGGAAGAAGAGACTGCCTCTCCTGGCCACAGCCTAGAGCCTTCCTTACTAACTGAAGGGGCTGTGTCTGCTCCACCAAAGGCTGTGTGGGGAGCCAGGCCTGTGTCTTCCCCTGCCCCAGGCCTCCTCCCTCTCACTGTCTGTTAGGCTGTCCCAGGGTGAGCTCGCCTCCCAGCTCCCGCCATCCCTTTCCATTACCCTGCATCTTGCTCTTCCCCCAAAGCCCCCCACCCCCACCTCCTGTCCATCCTACTCCCTCCTGGGCACCTCACAGTCAATAGCCCTGAACCTTCTCCCCCTCTCACTTCCAACACGGGGTAAGGCACCACCCCCAGCCTGGCCAGGAGCCTGGGCATCACCCTCTACTCTCTCGCCTCTCCCTCTCCCACATCCAGTCTAAGGCAAGGCAAGCCTTAGAGGGTTCCCTCTGCTCTCAAGAGCCAACCCCAGTGACTGATGAGACCCTTGGACCTGGAGGGGTTCTCACACCCAGACGGGGTTCCTGCCTCTCTTGCTTCCGGGTCTTTGCACATTTTATTCCCTCTCCTTGAACATTCTTCCCCTGATGAACTCCTCAACCTTCCAGTCTTAACGCAAATGTCCTTCCTCCCAGATTCTCACTGCAGCCCTTCTCCAAGCCCTCACCTCCAGCTCCCTGTCCCACTACATTCCCATCCCAACGGGCTGTCCCTGGCTGTCCATCACCCCTGCTGGACTCTCCAGTCCAGGAGAGTGTGCAGCTACACAGAGGGCCTGACACAAATGTCTGCTGAGTGGATGGAGGGATTGAGGGTAGATGGAAGGGACAGAGAGGAAAGATACAAAGAGAGGATGGAAAGAAGAATGGGAGGATGAAGGAAGAATGGGAGGATGGAGGAAGAATGGGAGGATGGAGGAAGAATGGGAGGATGGAGGAAGAATGGGAGGATGGAGGAAGAATGGGAGGATGGAGGAAGAATGGGAGGATGGAAGGAAGAATGGGAGGATGGAGGAAGAATGGGAGGATGGAGGGAAGAATGGGAGGATAAAGGGAAGAATGGGAGGATGAAGGAAGAATGGGAGGATGGAAGGAAGAATGGGAGGATGGAGGAAGAATGGGAGGATGGAGGGAAGAATGGGAGGATGAAGGAAGAATGGAAGGATGGAGGGAAGAATGGGAGGATAGAAGAAGAATGGGAGGATGGAGGGAAGAATGGGAGGATGGAGGGAAGAATGGGAGGATGGAAGGAAGAATGGGAGGATGGGGAAGAATGGGAGGATGGGGGAAGAATGGGAGAATGGAGGGAAGAATGGGAGGATGGAGGAAGAATGGGAGGATGGGGGAAGAATGGGAGGATGGGGGAAGAATGGGAGGATGGAGGGAAGAATAGGAGACGGAAAGAACAATCGGAGGACAGAAGGAAGAATGGGAGGATGGAGGGAAGAATAGGAGATGGAAAGAACAATCGGAGGACAGAAGGAAGAATGGGAGGATGGAAGGAAGGGTAGAAGGGGATCCAGGTTGGATGAGTGGGTGGAAGAAAGGATAGAACAAATGAATGAACGTAGGAGGAAGTGAGGAAGGAAAGAAGGAAGGAAGAATAGATGGTGGATGGATGGATAGAGGGAGGGATGGATGGATGGGGAGAGGAAGGGAAAAAAGAGTGTATGGAAAGATGCTGGAAGGATAAATGAATGCGAGGTAGAATGGAAAAAAGGATGACAGAAAAATGGAAGAATAGATGGATGGACAGGCAGACGAATGAATGGACAGAGAAACAAGGTGATCCCACCAGCACCCAGCCCAGAGTCTTGCCCAAGGTCAGCAGGCAGATGAGGACAGCAGGACACAGACAGCTAAGTCTCCCAGGACAGCCACAAGCACCATCACTTACCGATGAAGGGGATGGAAGCCAGAGAGTCTTCAGTGGCAGCCAAAGGGGCCACCTTCCTGCCCAGGCGTTCCCCTCGCCCACTGGCCTCTGGCTCTGGGGACTGGTCACCAAATCCAAGGTTCATCTGCCTTGCGGGGGTCAGCTGAACCTTGCGGCCCGTTGGGGGCTTCTGCCTCAGGACTACCTCGTCGCGGCGATCCTCTGCAGGAGGCTCCACGGACCGGGTGCTAGGTTCTGGCCGGACAACCCGGGGTGGCTCAGAGGCCTCTGGTGGGAACGGTGCAGGGGACTGGGCCAGGTTGAAGGTAGGCAGCCCCCCAAAGGGTGAGTCCCGGAAGGAGAGTGCATGCAGGAGGCCTGTCCGGCGCTGGAATGATGGGCTGTAACTCCGGTAGCCGATGTACCCGAGGTCGTCCAGGCCCTGCAGCCCAGGTGGGGGCGGGGCCTGGGGCCCTGGCAGGTCCCGAGTTGGGCAGGCAGGGGTGCGAGCAGATGCACGCTGGGAAGCCCAGCCACACCGCTCAAAGCGGGGTGACACCAGTGCCCCTGGTCCCAGTGCCTCGGCGGAACGGGTGGCCCGGCTCAAGTAGTCATCTGAGCGAGCTCGGTGCCAACCCTCCTGGCCCAGCTGGCTCAAGGCATCCTGGGAGGTGGAGCAGGGCCACGGGCGGGGGGCAGCCACCTCTTCCAACCGGTCCTGGGAGGCGCTGCGGGCCGGGGGAGCCATGGCTGGGCACCGTCTCTCCCCCGCCCTGCGGGGTACCTGGTTTGACAGCCAGTGTGACAAGGCCTGCTGGCACTCCAGTCTGCTGGGGGGGACCCGGCTGCCAGGCTCTGGGAAGGCACGGGGCGTCCGGGGCTCCGAGGCCAGGTGAGGGAAGGCACCAGGGCTGGGGCGGGGCTGGCTCATCCCCAAGGAGGAGTTGTCCGGGTGAGCACGGGCAGTGGGTGGCACGCGGAGCCCCGGGTCACTCCAGGCAGCAGGACTCCGGGGGTCACTGGGCAGTGCTGAGGTGGGCTCAGGCACCATAGTGGCCCGGGTAGAGACCCGGGCCGGAGCGGCATAGGTCTTGCGGGGGTAGCAGATGGGGGGTGGCTCCGGGATGCTGCGGGCCTCTCCAGAATACGGCTCGTTCCCCTTCAGGTAGGCATCCTGGGAGTAGGCCTGGCCGGAGACACAGAGGCAGGTGAGCAGGGCCAGATAGGTCCCACAGGGCAGGGACATGGCAGCCCGAGAAGATACAGGAGTCCAGGAGGGGACTGAAGGGAGAGGACCAATTGGTGGGAGGAGAAGGTAGGGGGAGGGAAGGGGGAAACAGGGGACAGCAGGGCATATGTCCAGGCAGAGGACAAAGAAAAGCAAGAAGCCTGTGAGACACAGGCAAACTCCAGCAAAAGTGGGATTTCTCTAGGACTCTAGGATTTCTCTATGACAAGGATTTCCTTAGCCACAAACATTCTAGCATCTGTCTCCTGGGGTCCTGCCCCATCCTGGCCTCTACCACCTCCCTGCCCCCTTATGTTACCAATGCCCACAGCTCCTCGGGTAGAGCCGGAAAACCCCACAGAGACCAGTCAAGGTGGCAGATGAGAGAAGAAAGCCGGCTAGGGGTGTGTCCGGGTGGGGCGGAGGCTGGCAGAGCCCAGCTGTCCCTCCATCCCTGGGACGGGGAGCTGGGGGATGGCTCCTGAGCCACTGGGGTGAGGAGGAGCTTGCCCACCTCCTGCCAGGCTTGAAGGAGGGGCCTGAGCCACCTTCTGCCACCCCTGGGCCTGGAATTTGGCACTGGGAGCTGAGGCTGACGCTGCATTGCTAAGGAGTGACAGGGCCAGCGCCCAGGCCCAGCCAAAAAAGGAGGCGGCTCCCAGGGACAGCGGCCTTGTGGCCCAGGCCCAGCCTGGCCCTTGCTGAGCTGCCCAGGAGCCTAACTCAGGGCGAAGAACCAAAGGGTGGGAGGGTGAAACCAAACACACACACACCACACTACGAGGAGACACTGGAAGATACACACCCAGAGACATACACACAAACACAATGAGAGACACACACAAATAACTACACCTCCAGTCCCAGGCACAAACATCATGTGATGAGAACAAGCTAAGCCGCACCCCCGCACGCTCAGCCCCCTCCGGCTGGCACAGGGGCCGGCACACACATACCTCTCCCTCCTGCCATCCCGCCGTCTCCCCAGGCTCCCGGCATCTTCACGGCGGCGGCAGCATCCCCGCCCGCCTCCGCCCACCCCCAGCTCTGGCTAACCCCCCACTGGCCACTGCGCTGCCCTGGCCGGGGCCTCTGGTCCCCTCTGTCTGCCCTCCCTGTGGCTCCCCTTTGCCCCCACCCGGCTCTCTCCCGGCTGGCTGGCGGGAGGAGGAGGGAGGGAGGATGGGTGTGGAGGGCCTCGCCGCGTCGGTGGTGGCGTCAGCAGCTGCCGAGGCCCGATTGGCCTCCAGCCTTGGCTCCCAACCACAGGAATGCCTGGGCCCCACCCTCTGGCTGGCGGAGATGCAGGGGCCAGTGGAGGCCCCCAGATGCTGACATCTGGGGCTGCCAGCCCACCCCAGCCTGGGCAGCAGAACTGGAAGCTGCTGCCCTTCCTACTCCTTGCCCCTGCCAGCTGGAGAGTGTGGGGGACACCCTAGGGTCCCACCCTGTCACTCCCCCACAGCCGGCCTCACCTCAGCCTGGGGGAGCTGTACAGGCCTTGAGACTAAGGGTGAGCGGTCCATCTCTGAGTCCCCCTTCCTTCCTCCCTCTCCCCAGGAAGAACAAGGGGACAATCGAGGTCAGGGGTGGAGGTTTCCAGAGAGGCATCATGCCAGGCATGGCACTGTGATTACAGTGATTACAAGAGTGAGTCCAGGGCAGAAGCCAGCACAGTGGCTCTGAAGGCCTCCCCGGGGACAGTGACCTCAGGGGCAAGCAAGCCGCCATCTGGCTGGGACCCATGAGACCAGGGAGGTGGGCACTGGGCAGAGAGGACCGCCCAGGGCTCCGGGCACAGTCAGGCATCGTGAGTGCGCACATGTGTGGAAGGGTACGCCTGAGCACGCAGGGCGTGCTTCATGCAGTGTCTGGGCCTCGCTCTCTGTGTGTCAGGCTGGACGCTGTCTTCTAGGTATGCTGAGGTGCAGACTGAATAAATTTCCTGTGACACAGGTGGGCGCATGTGCGGAGGTGGGGCAGGAGCATGCCAGTGTTTGTGGGTGTGCATGCTGTGATAGTGCATGGTGGGTGTACAGATGTGGAGGCGAGAGGTCCGAGTGTGCGAGGTACTGTGCTGTTTGTACTGTAGGAGCCAAGGGGCTGGTGAGTGTGTCGACATGTTTTAGTGTTTGTGGGTGTTTGCTGTGGTGCACTTCGCTGTGTGGGTGAACGGTGGCAGTGGGTGCTGGTGTGGCACGTGCCTGGTGCTGTGTGTGTGTGCTGTGCTTCATGCTGGATAGAGGTGGGGCTGTGTGCTGTGTACCTGTGTGCTGCTTGGCTGCTACGTGGTGTACAGGACAGCGGGGTGGGGTGGGGTGTGCTGGGCAGTGTTTGATGTGTGCTCATTGCCTGCGTGGACGCACCCACCAGAGACACCTTCACTCAGGGCCTGGCGGGGAGTGGGTGTGGGAAACGATCATCTCTCCTAGGAGCTGACAAGAACGTGCCAGGCTGGCAAAGCCTGCTGGGTCACCCTCCTTCCAGATAATCTGGCAGGAATCCCGCCTGCCAAGGCCAGGTCTCCCGCTCCCCCAGCACAGAGCAGCTCTGAATGAAGCAACAACCAGCCCCAGCCCAGGGATGAGCCTGGCATCCCCAATTGGGCAATGTCTGCCAGCACCCTCCTGACACTTCCTTCTCTGCCTCCTGAGGGAGCCGCTGCTGCCCCAGGGCTCAGGGGTCTCCTCTCAGGCTGAGGGGGCCGGACTCACCAGCTGGAGGATGTCCTCGTCCTTCGGCATGATAGACAGCTCCAGAGTGTCATCACTACAGAGACAGGCAAAGTGTCAGGCTGGGCCAGGGAACAGGGTCCAAGAGGAAAGGATCCTGGTCTCCACAGCAACCCCAGGGCAAAGGGGCAGGAAGATAATATGGGACGAGGGGCCAGGAGCACTCACCTATTCTGGATCAGAGCTATGACCTGAGAGTAGGTCTTCCCAATGACGCTTTCCCCATTCACCTTTACCAGCCGGTCTCCTGGGGACAAGGAGCACATGAGTGGTGACCAAGGGCATCAGAGGCCCCATCTGAGAACCCCTGTACCAGGCATGGATAACAGTGTGAGGACAGGGGCCTCCCCAACACCTGGATCCCAGAATCCCATCTTAGTTGGAAGGTAGAAAGTAGAGCGCAGGCCAGGCGCGGTGGCTCACGCCTGTGGATCCCAGCACTTTGGGAGCCGAGGCGGCTGGATCACCTGAGGTCAGGAGTTCAAGACCAACCTGACCAATACAGCAAAACCCCGTCTCTACTAAAAAATATAAAAATTAGCTGGGCGTGGAGGTGGATGCCTGTAGTCCCACGTATTTGGGAGGCTAAGGCAGGAGAATCACTTGAACCTGGGAGGCGGAGGTTGCAGTGAGCCAAGATCCTGCCATTGTACTCCAACTGGGGCAACAAGAGCGAGACTTAGTCTTAAAAAAAAAAAAAAAAGAAAAAAAAAGAAAGAAAGAAAGTAGAGCCCAGGTAACTGGGACAGCTCACCTGTGCGAAGCCCCGCCCTGTGGGCAGGGCCATCTTCCTTCACATTCTTGACAAAGATGGTGTCCATGGGCTCCAGGCGGTGCCGGGGGGGAGGGTCCTGGTGGGCATCAGCCAGGTTAGTTGGGGGTGGCCGCTGAAGGTCACAGCCGTGCACGGCTACACGCACAGGGGATACACACTCAGAGAATGATCGCACTCGCCCGGTCACAAACATGCCCAGTCCCACACATCCACGGGGGCACTGGATAGGCCATGGAGGCACAGAAGCTGGCAGGAGGACACAGACCTGGGAGAAGGCGGGGACACAGAGTCACTCCGTAAACACCTCCCGTGTCCTCTTCATGTGCTAAAACTACACTAAAAAAGATGAACAGGCCAGGCACGGTGGCTCACACCTGTAATCCCAGCACTTTGGGAGGCCAAGGTGGGCGGATCACCTGATGTCAGGAGTTCCAGACCAGCCTGGTCAACATGGTGAAACCCCGACTCTACTAAAAATACAAAAATTATCCGGGTGTGGTGGTGGGTGCCTATAATTCCAGCTGTTCAGGAGTCTGAGGCAGGAGAATCACTTGACCCTGGGAGGTGGAGGTTGTGGTGAACCAGGACCGTGCCATTGCACTCCAGCCTGGGCAACAGAGTGAAATTCCATCTCAAAAAGAATAAAGAACAGGTGCAGCCCTTGTCCTTCCAGAGCTCACTGTCCAGCTCGGGAGGCAGATTCTCACACACGTGCACACACAAGTCACAAGACAGAGGAAAGGGCGCCATACAAGAGGCCATAACAGTTCCAAAGACACGCTGCAGGGACAGACGCCCTCCTAGCAGGGATGCCCACTCCTGCAGACCCAGCAAGACACCAAACACTCACATCCCCCACCTCCTCCCTTCCCCAGGCTCAGGAGCACCAAGCAGAGGTCCGAGACCCCCAGGATGGGCACAAATCACATTGTACCCCAACAAAGTTCCTTTGCTCCTAAGTGCTGCTAACTCTAGGCTAACAGAGAAATGGGCCTTTTCTAGGCCAGCTGGCCCCTCGCCCAGCTCGGCTTCTGGATGTGGACACAGGAGTGTCCTACGGCTGCCCAGCAGAAGCCCCAGTGGCAGAGCGGAAGACTGTCGGAGAAGGAGCTCTATCTGGAATACTCAGGGGGCCTGGGGAGCAAGGGCCACACCAAGGGGAGTCAGGCTCACCTCGTAGGAGAGAAAGACCTTGTGTACCTGTGTACCATGTGTACCTGTGTGTGAGGCGTGGGCACTACGTGGTGCATATGACAGTGGTGCACTGTGGTCCTCACTCTCAACAGGACCCCACTGTCTCCACCTCCAAGGACAGCCCTTGCTCAGTGCTCCCACCACCAGCCCCCAGGCCCTGCAGCCCTGCCGTGCCTCGCTCTGGGCTGGGAGCAGCTTGAGGGCAGGGGCTGAATGGCAGACACCCATCTGCACCCCAGCATACCGCCCACAGCGTGCTGAGCTCAGTGAACTTCTGTGAAGGAAACAGGCCCAAGGGTGACAAGTGTGAGAAAATAAAGCGGGAGGACAGAGACAGTGAGGAAGAGGCGCCAGAGAGAGCCAGGCCAGGGGCACAGACAAGAGCAAAGGCAGCAACAGGAGTCAAGGGAGGGGCACAGAAAAGAACAGGCAGACTCGGGGGAGACGGAGAAGCAGGACCTGGAAGGTAAGTCCCTGTGCAGGCCCCGAGCCCGCCAGTCCTCCCTTACCTCCTCCGCGGCCTCCATTCTCTTCCTCCTGCAGGGAACAGAGGGGTGGTTGTGGGCCTCCGTCCAGCCCTCAGCAGCCACGGGTGGCCCAGCTCCAGTGGGCAGGGCCCTTCAGCTTCCCGCCGCCCCTTATCTCCTCCCAAGTAGCCCAGCAGAGGAAGGTGCAGGAGGGGTGTCAGCAGGGCACCAAGTCCCAGGCAAAGTTCGCCAGTGACATGTACTCCCACCACCCCTGCACCCTGACCATCAGGGAACCTCCTAATCCAACAGATGACCCAAGACCCCTGCCCTGGGGGAGCTCCCAGTCCAATGGAAGAGGCACCACACAGGTTCGCACACACAGAAAACCTGGACAGTTACAGATAGGCACATGACGAGTGCAAACTGTGGCTATCAGCTCCAGGGAACACCAAGGGGAGGCCTGATTAGAGTCCTCCTCGGGAGGGGACTCTGAGGCATCCAAGGGTGGCAGGGAGAAGGCATGGTGGATGTGGGAGGTGGGGCGTGCAGGCGCTGGCTGGCAGGGATAAGCGCTCACAGCACACGGATGGCTGAATTGCTGAGTTAAACGAGAAAGTCAACACCAGCAAGTGACAGAGCTCAGGCTAAAGCACTCAGGCTTACAGGACAGAAAGGAGGAGCCAGTGAAAGTTCTTCTGTGGGAGAGAGGGGAGCTGAAAACGCCAGTCAGGGGAGAGGATTCCTGCAGCCAGGTGCAGGGCGTCAAGGGGACCCATTGGGGGGCCTCTGGGATCACCCTGGTAGGTTGGGGAAGGTGCTGGACTTGGGGAGGAACGAGGAAAGAGGTCAGAGGGACAGGCTGAGCCAGCTGGATGTGGCAGTTTAGCGCTGGATCGGACCTTCGGTGTCCTCTCTTCTCACCCTTTCCACAGATGTACCCATTGTATAGTTCATAGGGCATGGTATGTTCAACGCCACCCAGAGACTCAGTGGCAGAGTCAGGGCTGGAACCCAGGCCTCTGTGGCACCCCAGGGAGGACAGGGTGGCCACAGGAAGGCCGCTGGGTTCTTCTGGGGAGCAAGCGCCTGGCCCCCGTCCTCCCGGGTGGGGTGCACTCCAGCTGATGTGGGCTGACAGCACAGTGAGCAGGTGGCAGAAGCAGACGGATGCACTCGGACGGCTGAGCTCCCTGCAGGCTCCCAGGTGGCAGCATGAAGGACAGGAGAACACAGCCTCCTCCCGCCTCCAGGCCAAAGGCCCCTCCTAGCCCTGGGCAGGTTCTGGAAAGGAGACGCAGCCTGTCCTGGCTTGCCCCTTCCCAGGTCTTCCAGTCCCCCACCTGGCCTAGACCCTATGCTGTCACCCCTCAGCAGGGTCCCCTGAGAGAAGGCGCTAGGGGCCAGAAGGAGGGCCATTCTAGGGAAGAAGTGAAGGAAGTACTGAGGGTTTCAGAGAACTAAGGGGCTGGTGTCCTTGGGCATGAAGGAGGGGGTCTGTCTACCTCTATGCACCATCAGCCCCCACTTATGTTCTTAAGCACAGCTGTAGCCAATGAGAACAGTCGTGCAGGAGTCCCAGCGGTTCCCGTATGCATGTGACAGCTGAACAGTTACGTGTACGTATGACGTGAATGTGCAGACACTACATGTGCACATACAGAGATACACACATGCATGTCCATGCCCAGCACATGCTGCACACGGAGAGACAGGTGAGCACACGGACACAGACAGGGAAGTTCCCTGTTTGGTTCTCTGATAGGTGGGACCAAGAGAGAGTCCCCCAGTAGCAGTGCAGGCAGATCCCAGCCCTAAAGAAAGTGGATGGGGGGGTTCATTGTCTCCAAAATCAATGTGTCCTCCCCTGCTGGAAAAGAAGGTGGGGCAAGGTGACTCACTCCTGTAATCCCAGCACTTTGGGAGGCCGAGGCGGGCAGATCACAAGGGCAGGAGTTCAAGACCAGCCTGGCCAACATAGTGAAACCACATCTCTACCAAAAATACAAAAATTAGCCGGGCATGGTAGCCCACTACTACCCCTGCTACTTTGGAGGCTGAGGCAAGAGAATCACTTGAAACCGGGAGGCAGAGGTTGTGGTGAGCCGACATTGCGACACTGCACTCCACCCTGGGAGACAGAGCAAAACTCTGCCTCAAAAAAAAAATAGAGAAGAAAAGAAGTGGAGGCCGGAGCAGAGCCCTAGTGGGGAGCTCTGGCTGCTCCCTGGGGTCTCCTCTGTCTCCTTCCCACAATCCTGCTTTGCTGTCAGGTGCCCCTCCCCCTAGCTCACAGCCTTGGATTTTGGTCAGGACCTCTGGTTCCTGCACTCAGAGAACTCAACGTTTACATTAGGGAAGGAAGGACTCTCAGGGGTCAAGTTGATAAATGTCCTCAGGTTCCAGTGGGAGAAATGGAGCCCAGAAATGGGGAGGCAACCCCAAATTCACATGAGTGAGGCGTTGTCCCAGGACTGGAACTCCAGGCTCCTGTGTTCTCTTTCCAGCACACTGAGCTGTGGCCAAGAGGGGCCGGGGGCATGCTGGGAGGGCTCCCACAGGTGAGTTACGCCCCTGAGAGTTCATGCTGGGGAAGGGAGGAGCAGCTCCCCCAGCTCAGAAGCAGCCAGTAGACCAGAGGTCCCAGGAGCTCCCAAGACGACCGCTCACCTGCCAGAGACAAGCATCTGGGGGTGTGAAGGGAGCATCCTGGCTGCGCACCTGCAGGGTCCTTGCCCTGCACCAGCCACCCCTGTCTCCTGAGAAGACCCAGGCCACAGTGATGAGAGTGTCTGTCCACCGTCACACAGTGCAAATGATCCAGCCAAGCTGGCACTGCCTCCCTGCAGTCCTCCTCCCCAGGCCACAGCAGAAGGGAGCCAGGCCGCACCCTAGGAAGGACCACTTCCCTGAGAGAGTCAAAGGACCACGAAGGGGACTGGCATAGAAGAGTCTCCCCTCCCCCATGAAAGCTTCCCCAGAGCAGGCCAGGGCATACCTTCAGGCTGCAGTGCACAGCCGACTCAGGCGGGTACACGATGAAGTGGCGCAGGGTGAAGCCAAAGCCGTCCTGGGGACTTTTGTGCAGCAGCAGTGTCCTCGGCCCCTGCCAGGGGAAGGGGCGCCTAGGAGAGCACCCATCTCTTGGGCCCAGTGGCAGCTGTGGGAGACAGGGAGGCAAGGCTGAGCGCCTGTGTGGCCGACACTTCTGGCTGTTTGTACTGCCTCCTGCAGCCCAGAGGACCGGAGGGGCACCAGAAGGGGTCTGTTGCCCTAGGATTGCCGGGCACCCTCCTGCCCCTGACCTCCTCCTCACCCCTTCCTTCCTCTCCCACCCTCATCAAAAAACCCCACACTTTTTCCTCCTTTCTTTTCCCCTCAGTCCCCTCATCATGTCTTTGCCTTCAGGAAAATAACTCACTGACATGAGTTCATTCAGTTCAGTTCAGCAAATGTTCACTGAGCACCTACTACATTTAGGACACTGATACAGCCTTCCTGCCCAGGAAGTGCCTGTCATTGTCTTAGCTCATGCACAATCTCACACATACATGCACACACACATGCGCCCCCACACACTTACGCAGACATGCAGACACAGACACAGCCACATACACTCATGCAGATGGAACATACCACAAATAGACAAGTAGGTTGAAATATGCAGACACATATGCACACACACAAATGAGTACACATATGCACACTTATGTAGACATATAGATATGCATAGAGTTGCACAGAATCAGCGTCCTGCACACATAGTGCACACAGAGAGGAAGCATGCACATGCACAGACATGCAGATACACACATGCGCAGACAGACCAGCACACACGCATCCTTCAAGGGTGGCAGCAGGAACACATGGGGGACCAAGAATCAAGAGGGAAAGGACTGGACATTAGACACCTGAAGAGACTTCCTGAGACTCCAGAGACCAGCCCAGAGGGTTCACCAGAAAGGCTAGGGGTGGGAGCTGGGCATAGTGGCTCATGCCTGTAATCCCAACACTTTGGGAGGCCAAGGCGGGTGGATCACCTGAGAACAGGAGTTTAAGACCAGCCTGGACAACATGGTGAAACTCCATCTCTACTAAAATACAGAAATTGGTCGGGTGAATTAGGCAGGAGAATCACTTGAACCTGGGAGGCGGAAGTTGCAGTAAGCTGAGATGACGCCACTGCACTCTAGCCTGGGTGGCAGAGCAAGACTCCGTCTCAAAAAAAAAAAAAAACAAAAAGGCCGAGTGCAGCAG